CGCCCGCGCTCCGAGGTGGGGGGCACGCGGCTCCGGGGGCGGGCGTGGGGGCGGCGGCGGATTTCGGGTGACAGCTCTGCACAAAGCAGTTTGGCTGGGGTGCAAGCTCCCCTTCTGCCCGTGCGCAGCGCCCTTCGCCGGGGTGGGAGGTGGACGCGTGCCCGAGGGGCTGAGACTTCGCTCCCCGGATTGGAAGTGGGGTGCGGGGTGGGGATCCCTGTCTGCGGAAGGGGGAATTCCCGGGCCGGGGTGTTGTGAGACCGGGTTCCCCGATTCGTCGCGGTGTTGCGGGTCCCTCCTAACCCCCCTCAATGTTTCCTTTCTGTCTAGCGGTGCCTTCTCCCCGCGACTCTCTGCACCTCTTCAGCGCAAAGGTGAGCCCTGGAGGCTGTTGCTTCTCCGAGTTCGGAGAAGAGACGAGAAAGCTTTTCGGAAAGCGAGGCGGCTGCATCTGGCACAGGGAACGTTGGGGCTCCCTCTTGGGGGTGTGAGAGCCCTGTCACCTGGGGAGCGTCTGCTCCGGGGGGGAATCCCACAGTCCGGGTGTGGGAACCCCCTCGCGTGTTCTTTGCAGCCGGTGGTGTGGCGGCGAGGAGCCCCCAGCCTTGCAGGTGTTGTAGTCAGACTCCAGCACAGCCGGCACGCGTCGAGACACGATCGGCATTACCAGGTTGCTGGGGTAACTCCTCCGGGACTGGGGACCCGGAGGGGGCGGCCCGATTACAGTAGCTGTTAGTCAACAGCCTAGCAGCCGGCAGGTGAAAGAGGAAGGAAGAGGCAGGCCCAGCTGTAGAAAGTTGGGGTTCCGTGATATGGAACCCAGCCAGATGGAGGCCCAGCCTTCCCCTGGGTGAGCGTGGAGGAGTCCATCTGGGGAGATCCGTCGCTCCACATATACACACACACCTCAAGGCTTTTGCGTTTTGTTTGGTTGGTTTTTTTTTAAAGAAAAGATCTATTTAAGTGGAAGAAAGGCGAGTGGAGAGATTTCTCCAGGAGGTACATGAGAAAATGACCGTCAATAATTAATTGTCTTCCAGGCAGAGAAAGTAGTCAACAAAACATTTAGGCAATTGAACTGGATCTGTATTTCGGAAAATTTGATTAGTGTGGGTGCAGTCAGGTGCGAGTCTTGCCTGGTTTTAAGTGGCCCAAAGGGAAATTCCTGTTGCTGTTGTCTCTGGAGAAGTTTCTAGTAATTTGTCCTATTTTTAGAAATTATGCAGACGTCACTGTAAATTTTCATTCCAACCTGGAGTCCTTTTGATTCATATTTTTATGAATTCTGTGTGTTTTTTAAAAAAACTTTCTGAAGAAGCTACTTAAGAAAAAAATCCTGGGAATTATTAAAATAGAAATCTAGACATTGATATATCCACTTATATATTTACCCCAAAAAACCCCACTTTTTTCCTCTCTTGTCAGATTAAAAGAACACCAAAGCTATGAATTGAAAATTAGGAAGAAATATGGTTATAAAATCATATTGAACATGAAACAAATTGATTATAAAGTTAGATGTATTTGTTAATTTGAAGAACCAGGTGGGAAACCATGTTTAGTATACTAGTTTGTTTTAATGATGCTTTTGATCAGTATTTCTAAGATTATATTTAAAAGCACAATAACTGTAATTCTTCCAGCTTTACTTAAAATTTTTTTCCTCCATTTTAAGCCACAAGAACTCAGTAATAGTGAAAATACAGAATTATAGTAAGTGTCAAAAAAGGATAGGGGTACATAACTATTTTTTTTTTTTAAAGATTTTATTTATTTTATTTTTTCCCCCCAAAGCCCCAGTAGATAGTTGTATGTCATAGCTGCACATCCTTCTAGTTGCTGTATGTGGGACTCGGCCTCAGGATGGACGGAGAAGTGGTGCCTCGATGCGCACCCGGGATCCGAACCCGGGCCACCAGCATTGCAGCGCGCGCACTTAACCACCAAGCCACAGGGCCGGCCCAGGATAGGGGTACATAACTATTAATTGTATAATTAAAGGTGAAAATGTGCTACCCTAAAAATCTTCCATTATATTTTTCCCAGACAACACAGAACTAATAATGGCTTTTGTAGCTAATATTTTCATTTCCTCTTAACCATTTCTCAAATTATATCATTCTTTATTGCAGTTAAGTACATATTTTCTAGAATACAGTTGGATTAAAAATGTTTGATGAAATTTCCAGAAACTCTGCTTTCTTTTGAGAATTCCTAGATGACAGTCTCAGATGTTACGTGAACCTAGGCTGATTTTATTTATGTTCCCCACATTAGACTCAAATATTTTTGCTGCAATACTTACATATACTATACATTTACATGTTTACATATGCTTTATTTGTGGGTCATTTTATGAATAATGGATATATGTTTTATTTTTATTTTTTTGGTGAGAAAGGTTAGCCCTGAGCTAACGTCTGTTGCCAATTGTCCTCTTTTTGCTGAGGAGAATTGGCCCCGAGCTAACATCTGTGCCCATCTTCCTCTATTTTGTATGTGGGACACCACCACAGCATGGCTTGATAAGTGGTGCGCAGGTCCACGACTGGGATCCAGACCTGCGAACCCCGGGCCGCTGAAGCAGAGCATGAGAAATTAACCACTACACCACCAGGCCAGCCCCCCGGATATATGTTTTATATAAAGAGATTTGTTAGATTGGGCACTCTTGAAAATATAAATGTGATCCGGAAAGCCTTCTTTGGGTCCAACGATTACAGGTAGACAGTAGTACTTTAAACATTATTAGTGCTTTATCCAGCGGTATAATGAGTGCTGCAGAACTAAATAGCAACTTATTTAATGCTTAAAGAACTATAATGCGTTTCAGAATATGTATAGAGTTTACGTGTTCACAACTAACAAAATGGTTTTAAGAAAGTGAAGACAGAGTCAAAGGAAAATTATCCATAACATTAGTGTCAAGATTTCTCAAAGGCGATGTAGATGGCAGACTGAAAGTTTTCACACATGATGTTAATAATCCATACAAATGCTCCTAATGAATGTTAGAACAACCCACAGATGTGAAACAATGGGATTACAAGCCCCTCAAAGCTTTTCTCCAAGATTGAGATTCTATATGTGGAATTTGTATCTTATGCTAACACTTTTCCACTTTCAAATTCCTTATCCATAGGTATGTCCTATTTACTTTTCATGCTATCATTTTGTGTAAGTGTGTGCGTAGTAAATACACTGGATCGGGTGAGGAGATATGTGAAAACTGTGGAGTCCATATATTATTGAGTACTTATGCTACACGTTTTTCATTCCTTATCTAGTTTAGTTAGAAAAATACTTATTTGATAACTCTTAATCATTCATGATTACTATGCATTATTTTTCTTATAGACTCTTGGTTCTTAATGTTTGTTTAACTGTGCTGTTATTAGACTAGTTTGAGAACTCATAACATTTTTCCAGTAGAAGATACCAGTGACGATCTAACCCAGATTCCCATATTCAGTAGTGACTATACAGTGTGCCTGAGATTTATTTGTTGGGTTTTACTGAGAAGGAATGAGTGAGTTTTCCTTTTAAAATATAAGAGATCAAAATTCAGGAACTACTAGGAAGACACAGTAAGATGGAGAAGAACATAGACAAAAACTAGGTGTTTTTACTTATTGAATTTTACAGACAGTAGTGTAATTTGTTTATTGGTCATTTGTGTGGTATGTTTCTCATTTTAATTCTCATTTTTAAATGTACATACTACTAATGGATAACATTTATTGAATACTTGTAATGTGACAGCATGGTGCTTTAAATAGGTTTATTTTAAATCTTACTTAATCCTCACACCGATACTGTGGTACAGTCTTGCTGTGTCCATTTAGTTGATAAGAACACTGAGGCTCAGAGACGTTAAGTAACTTGAAAGCAGTGGTGTCACACTCAGGTAGTCTAACTGCAGAGAATATACTCTTACCTACTAAATTACATAAGAACCCTGCTCCAGAGTGTTGAAAGTATTAGCAGATGCTAGTATTTAATGGTTTAATTTTTTTTCTTTTCTTTTTTTTTTGCAGACTTTCTGAAACAATGGCAACCCCACGGGGAAGGACAAAGAAAAAAGCATCTTTTGATCATTCTCCAGATAACCTTCCTTTGAGGAGCTCCGGGAGGCAGGTATTATTCATTTGGTCATTCAGTGCACCTGTTTTGAGCACACAGCATTATTATGCTTGGGACCGAAGAATTAGAGATGAAAAGATATAATTCCAGTCCTCGAGGAGTTCGTAGTCTAGTGGAGAAATTCACCCCAAGACAATCACAGTCCAGTGTGATAAAGTGATACAATGTAGGAAAAAACATGTCTGGGAGAGGGAACAGCAAAGATAAGGCACAGAGTGTGAATCACCGTAGGGTGTTCCGAGAATCGCAGCTGTGTGGTTGCCCCCAGGGTGTGAGCTGGGGCCAGATCGTGCTTGCCTTGTGTCATTCATAGGAATTTGGACTTCAGCTTGTAGTTGGTCGGGTGCTGTTGGCAGGTTACTTGCTGCCATCTCTTTTGTAGGGCTTTTTTTTTTTTTTTAATATTGAATGATGTAATTCTTTTTCTAGAATTTTTCTAGTTTTCTGAAAAAATTATTTGGGTCATATTGGCTTACAACACTGTAAATTTCAGGTGTACATTGCTATATTTCAGTTTCTGTACAGACTGCACTGTGTTCACCACCAACAGTCCAGTTTTTATCTGTCACCTAGTTTTTTATCTGTAGTACTGAGAGGCTATAACTGCTCTAAGTAAAAAAAATAAATCTTAATTTGAGAGTGGCTTTTGTTTTGACTGATCCAGCTTTTTCCGAAGAAAGGCTCCCGTGCATTTTAGTTCTCTACTCAGAGACCTATCGTTAAAGTGCTGGTTCTGTATTTCTGGCAAGTTAGTGAATTATTTACACAGTGCAGTCTCAAGAAAATTGCTATATTGTTAGCTCCTGACCTACTGCCAGGATGTTGTTGATCTTCACGTTTAGAACTCCTCCTAACGTGGAAGTGCTTTCAGTAAACCTTCCACCACCTTCACCCTTGGCCACGCGAGTAAAATCTTAACCTCAGCTGGTTCTTCCTCAGGCGAAGAAAAAAGCAACAGAGACGACAGACGAGGACGAAGATGGTGGATCAGAGAAGAAGTACAGGAAGTGTGAAAAGGCGGGCTGCACGGCAACGTGTCCCGTGTGCTTTGCAAGTGCTTCTGAAAGGTCTGTTTAGATGGCGTGTCTTGGCTTCACATTCCTGCCCGTGAGAGCATTCTTTGTGGGAACCGTCATCCTCGAAGATAGTTTTCCTAAAGATAGATATACATACTGAAGTCATCTAATAATAGAGACGTGACTTGTATATTCTGTACACACCACACCCTCCTATATGCTCCTCGTGTTAGACCTAGCCATGTCAGCTCTGCATAGTGGCCAATCAGTGTCCTCAAATCCCACTGACCATAGCTGTATCTCTCCTGGGGGTTGGGGGTGGGATGGGCTGAGAGGTGGGGACACAGTAGAGAGAACCCTTGAGCTCCCTGTGGAGACCAGCACGTGTTTACTTTCACTATGCTGCTTTTCTCCCTCGTATAACATACCTCCTCTTCCAATAGACATATATGGGTCTCATTGAAACTCTGTAGCTAACTGCACTCTTGCCCGTTTATTGGGATGACCCAAGCATGACCTTTTACTTCCAGAGAAAAATCTTCAATTAAGGCTTAAGATTCAATAGAACCTGGAAAAAATCCTGTTTTTTAAATCACAAAGAGACGGTGGTGTTAGTGTTCGTAGTGGCATTGTATGTCGTTCTTTTACTAAATTGTTGGCTGTTTGACAGGTTATATTTGCCAGATTGCTTACTCAATGGTCAGATTCCCGTTGGCCAGATTCGTTCACTATTCAATATTGGGCCAGATGTTGCTAGAGATTACACTTCTCTCCTTCACACACATGCAGCTTGCAGTAAGCACAGTGACATCCCTTGTTTTGTGTCATAAAGCTCTGTCATTGCTCCAGGGAGTCTTGATAAAACTCTTCAGTCCCAGCCCTTCTGTGCAGCCAGCTGGGTTAGGTACCACTGGTCTAATCCCTGTGTCCTCACCGTGTATTGTTACATATCAATCATGCATTCCATTTCCTGTTGTTAGCTCCTGGTTGTTAGGATTCTAAGTGGAGATACTGAAAAATGGGCATAGGAGGTGCTTAATACATGTTTTTTTTTTTAAAAAAAAGAGAGAAGAAATGTTTATTTATTACCAAAGCTACATGTTTTTGCTATTTTCAGATGTGCCAAAAACGGCTACACATCCCGATGGTATCACCTCTCCTGTGGGGAGCATTTCTGTAATGAATGCTTTGACCATTACTACAGAAGGTTTGTTCGCTAGTTGTTTAAGGTTTCCGTGGTGGGGGGGACAGTGGCTGGGACAGCGGGGGGCTCAGACAGTTAGGATTGAGCCCCCAGGCTTACTGAATTATTCCACCATTTCAGTCATGCCTGTGCTGATTACAGCTGTGCCAGAACTTTGATGCTGTAGTATGCGTGTGTGTGTGTCCTTATGTGTGTGCACACTCAGGACCCAAAAAATATGTGCTATGAGACAATTATTCTCTATAATCTGCAAGTTCTGAAAAATCTAGGAGGTGCTTTGCTATTCTGTGATGGTGCGTAGCGGGAGGGATGCAGAGATTTGGGGGAGGGTGCTGAGGACTAAAGGGCAGTGGACAGACAGGTAGCCACCCTTTCTTAATAGTTTCAGATACTAAAGTGATGAGAAGGCACCATTCCCAACAGCCTGTATTATGGGTGCTGTTATAACTTTCCCACCTCCTCATAACATGGCGAGTTAAGTCCTTTACGTAAGATTTACTAACCTGCCACCTGTTTTGAAAACCCGATTAACTTGTAGCTTTATACATTTATTTTTTATTCTTTTTCAGCCATAAGGATGGATATGACAAATATACTGCGTGGAAAAAAATATGGACTAGCAATGGGAAAACTGAACCTAGTCCCAAAGCTTTCATGGCAGACCAGCAGCTCCCCTACTGGGTAAAAACGATAACGCTTTATTGTTCTCGAAAGCATTTGTGGAGCTGAAAGCAAGAGGAATGGACGAACATACTGATTTTTAGCAAATCTTTCCTTTGTTACACTTATTGTTCTTTTTATGTCTATTAAAGCAAATCACATTTTTTATTTTTGTAGAAAACATAGATAATTCAACATAGTATAAAGAAGAAACTAAAGACTCACCACCAGCTGGTGATAGCCATTGCTAAGCTTGGTACATATCTCTCTGACCTTTTTTTCTGTTTCTATTTTTATGTATATATTTATACACAATTTGGTGCTTTATATACAAATCCTAACTAGGTTTAAAATCATACTTTGCATATAATTTTTTCGTTAAGTTTTAGTTTTTTATTTAACTTTGTATTATTTTTCCATTTAGCCATTCTTTGAAAATATATTTTAGTGATTGCATGTATTAGATAAATATACCATCATTTAATGATTTGCCAGTATTTTTAATATCATAGGTAATTCTGAGCTTCTCTTGCACAATTTGTTTTGAATTACATAACATAAAATTAACTATTTTAAAGTGTACAATTCAGTGGCATTTAGTACATTCACAATGTTGTGCAACCACCACGTCTTATCTAATTCCAAAGCATTTTCATCATTCACAGAGGAAACCTGTGCCCATTAAGCAATCACCTCTCATTCCTCCCTCCCCCCAACCCCTTGCAACTACTATTCTGCTTTCTGTCTTTATGAATTTACCGATTTGGGATGTTTTATATAAAGGAATCATGCCATACATGACCTTTCATGACTGGCTTCTTTTACTTAGCGTAATGTTTTTGAGATTCATCCAGATTGTAGCATATATTAGTACTTCATTCCTTTTTATGGGTGAATAATATTCCACTATATGGATTTGCCACATTTTATTTATCCATTCATCTGTTGATGGACATTTGGGTTGTTTCCACCTTTTATTGCAAATGTACTGCTGTGAACATTTGTGTACAATTACTTATTTGAACGCCTGTTTTCAGTTCTTTTTGGTATATACCGAGAAATAATATGGTTGAGTCATACGATAATTCTATGTTTAACTTTTTGAAGGACCACCAAACTCTTTTCCACAGCTAACTGCTGCACCATCTCTCATTCTCACCAGCGACGTATGAAGGTTCAAGTTTCTCCGCACCCTCACCAACTGTTGTTTCCATTTTTTTAATTTTAGCTATCCTAGTGGGTGGGACATGTTATCTCATTGCGGTTTTGATTTACACTTCCCTAATGACTAATGCATCTTTTCATGTGCTTGTTAGCCATTTGTATATCTTCTTTGGAGAAATATCTGTTCAAGTCTTTTGCCTATTTTTAAATTGGATTGTTTGTCTTTTGTTGTTGAGTTGTAAGAGTTCTTTATGTATTCTAGATGCTAAACCCTTATCAGATATATGATTTGCACCTGTTTTCTCCTATTCTCTAGGTTGTCTTTTCACTTTCTTGATAGTGTCCTTTGAGGCACAAAAGTTTTTAATTTTGATGAAGTTCAATCTATTCATTTTTTCTTTTGTTGATTGTGCTTTTGGTGTCATATCTAAGAATCCACTGCCAAATCTGAGGTCATGAAGATTGACTCCTGTGTTTTCTTCTAAGAGATTTATCATTTTAGCTCTTACATTAAGGTGTTTGATCCACTTTGAGTTAATTTTTATATATGTATGAAGTAGGGGTCCGACTTCATTCTTTTTTTTTTTTTTTGATAAGGAAGATTGGCCCTGAGCTACCATCTCTGCCAATCTTCCTCTATTTTGTATGTGGGTCACCACCACAGCATGGCTTGATGAGTGGTACAGTTCTGCACCTGGGATCCAAACCTGTGAACCCTGGGCCACCGAAGCGAAGCGGAGCATGCCAAACTTTAACCACTACGTCACCGGACCAGCCCCTCAATTTCATTCTTTTACAGATAGATATCCACACGCTTTTTTTCCATAAAGTTTTTATTTTGCCATAATTTTAAACTTACAGAAAAGTTGCAAACATAGTACAGAGAGTTCCCATGTATCCTTCACCCAGTTTCTCCTAGTGTTATCGTCTAACACACCACGATTATTTGTCAAATTCAGAAATTAACATTGGTACAGTACTAATAACTACATTGCAGACGTGATTTGGATTTCATCAGTTTTTCCACTAGTGTCTTTTTACTGTTGTGGGATCCAGTCCAGGATACCACATTACATTTAGTGTGTGTGCTTTCTGACCGACTGTAACTAAATTTACTGTGATTATTTCTTTAGATTAGAGCTGGAAAATCTTTCTGACAACAGTAGTCAGATCCCTGTTTGCACTTTCCTGGTGCCTGAGCTAGTATTGAATCAGAAATTACCCTGATGGTGTACAAATGGATTGTATGGGTGGTGGTGATGCAAGGGAAAGAAGAAGTACTTAGAAGTGCTAAAAAGTTGGTCAAATCATGTGGAGAAGATGGCAAAGTGAGCGGTGCAGGATAGAAATGCTAGCTTGAGATTAGTCAGCTCATTGACGTTGGTTTATTACTTTTCGTCTAGGTTCAGTGTACAAAACCTGAGTGTAGAAAATGGAGACAACTTACCAAGGAAATCCAGCTTACTCCACAGATAGCAAGGACCTATCAGTGTGGTATAAAACCAAATACTGCTGTTAAGGTATGATTTCTGTTGGTTTTCCTTTTGAATTAATTGATAAATTAATTTAGTTTTCAGTAATGGTGTATATTTTTCATTTATTACATTGATCATTGTGTCAGGATTGAATTGGTCCACATATAACAGAACTCTAACTACAATGGCTTAACCAATTAAGGATTTTATTTTTTTCTCATTATAAGCAGTTTGGAAATAGACTGTCCAGGGTTGGTATGGTAGCCCAAGAAAGTCTCCTTCTAGTTTCCAGTTTCAACACAAGATGGTTCAGCCACAAGAGAGTTGCTACATCATCAGTCATCGTGTCCAAATTCTAAGCAGAAAAGAGGGGAAAGGCAAAGGGCGAGAGGGGTGTACCAGCTGAGTCTCTCCCTCTTTTATTGGGAAAACAGGAGCTTTCCTGGAAGTTCCAACAGTAGATTTCTGTTTATATCTCATTGGCTAGAACAGGATCATGCAGCAACTCTGAACAACAGTAGAGGCAGAGGAAGAGAGTATTTTATAACTGAGCATGTTACAATATCAAACAAAATCAAGGTCCTATTAGTAAGGAAGAAGGAGTGAATGGATATGTTTGGGCAGTAAGGAATCTGCTGTAGTTGGTATAATGTGCCTTTTTTGACACTTGGCAATTACTTGGTGTTTAAAAACTGTAGCTGCTTTAATCTGTTAAAGCATTAATCTACACAACCATCCCTAGTTCCTTCAGTACATTAAAGAATATTATGAATCATTGTAATCTTAGAAGTAAAATACTTTCTTTTTTAAAAATTGATATAATGCACATACCTTAAAATTCACCCTTTTTAAGTATACAGTTCAGTGGTTTAGGGTATATTCACGAAGATTTGCAATCATCACCAGCAAAATATTTCCTTAGTTCAAATATTTCCCTTTTAAAGAATGAATGAAGAGCTTTATAAAGTTTATGGTCAAGTTTTTAAAAGCCTGAGATTTAAGATATAACTATTAAAGCAACTCATAATTATTGTAAAAATATTTGGAAGATTTTGCAAAGTGAGAGGGTGAGAAAAAGTGTATGAATGTTTAGGAGGGTTTTTTTTATTGTTTTAAATTTTACATAAGTATTACATAAATATAATCTCAGAGGTTAAAAAAAGTAAAGTGAATATATGTATGTATATATAAATATGTATACACACACATACAGTATACAAATAAAAGTGGAAGTCCTCCTTAACCGTCTTTTCCTTTCTACCCTAATAGGTAATCACTCTTAACAATTCATTTATCCTACTAGTACTTTCTTTAATGCATTTGATTACGTATTTATCACAGGCATGTTTTTTAAGGCTCTTGATACAAATATCTAAACTACTTTTTAAAGGTCTGAAGACCTATAGCTCAGAGTGATCATTTTATCAAAACCTTACCTGCACTGAGTGGTAGTATTTTTAATAGATGTAAAATTGCCTTTTGTTTTTGTTGAGGTATAATTACATCCTGTAATTATATGCACAGATCTTTATGCAATGTTTTCACCACCCTAAAAAATTCCCTTTATGTTCTTCTCTCCCCCACAAAGGCAACCACTATTCTTATTTCTATTCTCTAAGCAGAGTTTTGCCTGCTTTTGAACTTAATGAAAGTGGAATCAGCAAATATATACTCTTTTGTGCTTGGTTTCTTCCACTGAGTAAAATTGTGTTGAGATTCATGTGTGTTGTTGCATGAATCAGTAGTTTCTTTCTTTTTATTGCTGAGTGATAATTCATTGGATGGATATACCACAATTCTTTTAACCATTTTCTTGTTGAAGGGCATTTGTTGTTTTAAGTTTTTTGCTATTATGAATAAAACTGTAGTGAACATTCTGTGCAAGTGTTTTTGTGGACCTCTGTTTTCATTTCTTAAGAATAAATGCATGGGTGTGGAATTGCTGAGTCATATGGTAAAGTTATATTTGTTTAAGAAACTACCAAATGGTTTCCCACAGTTGTGCCATATTACAACATTTTGTGGTGTTCCTTTTTTTCTTTTTAAATTTTAGTCCTTCTAGTGGGTATGTACTAGTATATCATTTTGGTTTTAATTTGCATTTCCCTGATAACTAGTGATGTTGAGCATCTTTTCATATGCTTATTGGTCATTCATAGTAGTTCTTTGGAGAAATATCTGTCCAAGTCTTTTTTTTTTTTTTTTTTAAAGATTTTATTTATTTATTTATTTTTTTCCCCCCCAAAGCCCCAGTAGATTGTTGTATGTCATAGCTGCACATCCTTCTAGTTGCTGTATGTGGGACATGGCCTCAGCATGGCTGGAGAAGCGGTGCGTCGTTGCGCGCCCGGGATCCAAACCCGGGCTGCCAGCAGCGGAGCGCGCTCACTCAACCGCCAAGCCACAGGGCCGGCCCTGTCCAAGTCTTTGTTAAAAGTTTAGTTTGTCTTGTAGGAATTATGTAATATGGATATAGATATGTATCTTGAATATTTTTTGCTAGTGCTTTTCTTTCCTTTTCATTTTCTTAATAGGTCTTTTGATGAGCAGGAGTTTTTAATTTTGAAACTGAGTTTATCCATTTTTCTTTTATGCTTAGAACTTTTTGTATCTTTTCTGAGAAATCATTGACTACCTCTCAACTTGCACAGATAGTCTCCTGTGTTTTCTTTGAGGAGCTTTATAGTTTCAGCCTTTACCTTTAGGTCATTAATCTATGTCAGGTTAACTTTTGGTTTTGATGGGAGATAATAGGCCAAGATTCAGTTTTTTTTTCATGTAAGTATTTAGTTGTTCAGTACCACTTGTTGAAAAGACTTTTTTCCCATTGAATTGTCTTGGCACCATTATCAAAAATCATTTGGCTATGCATGTAGGTCTATTTCTGGACTCTATTCCATTGATTTCTTTGTTTATGCTTACCCAATACTCTGCTGTCTTGATTATTGTATCTTTATAGTAAGTCTTAAAATCAGGTAGTGTAAGTTCTTCCAACTTGGTTTTTCTTTTTCAAGATTATTTTGGCTATTCTAAGGTCCTTTATGTTACCATGTAAATTCTATTATCATCTTGTCAGTATCTACAAAAAAAACCTCTGGGATTTTGCATTGAATCTGTAGATCATTTGAGGGAGAATTGATATCCTTTCGTTCTTCTGTCTTGTCATCCAAAGGTCAGCAATCTGTGGCTCAGCGGCCAAATCTGGCCCCCCGCCTGTTTTTGAAAATAAAGTTTTATTGGAACACGGACATGCTCGTTCATTGGGTATTGTCTATGGCTGCTTTCATGCTACAATGTCAGAGGAGTTGCAACAGAGACCTTGTGATCCACAGAGCCTAAAATACTGTCTTGCCCTTTACAGAAAACGTTTCTTGACCCTGTTCTGACCCATGAGCGTGGTATATCTCTCATCTTTTCAGAGTCTTTAATTTCTCCCAACAATGTTTTCTGGTTTTCACTGAGGATGTCTTTTGTTAAATTTATTTGTAGATATTTTATTTTTTATGTGTCTGTAAGTAGAATTTACTTTTAACTGTATTTTCAAGTTGTTTGTTGCAATTATATAGAAATGCAATTTATTTGTGCATATTGACTTTATGCCCAGAGACTTTGTTGACTTCACTTATTAAATTCCGTAGATGGTTTTGTAGATTCCTTTGGGTTTTCCACAATCATATCAACTGTGAATAAAGACTGTTTTGTTTTTTTAAAAAAATCAGTCTTTTTGCTCTGTCTTTTTCTTGCCTTATTATGTTGGTCAGGACCACCACTAGGGTGTTGAATACAAGTGGGAGAGCAGACATCCTTGCCTTGTTCCTGACTTTAGGAAGAATGTGTTCAGTGTTTTATCATTATGTATAATATTGACTATCACTTTTCTCAGATGCCCTTTATCAGATTGAGAAAGTTCTTTTCTATTCCTGGTTTGCTGAGAACGTTTTATTAGGAATAGATGTTAGATCTTGTCAAATACCTTTTTTGTATCTTTTATGATGATCGTACAGTTTTTATCCTTTAATCTGTTAATGTGGTGAATTACACCGATTCTGGAATGTTGAAACAACCTTGCATTCCTGGAAAAAAAATTCTACTTGTTCTTACTATATTATCCTTTTAAGGTGTTGTTGGATTCAGTTTGCTAGTATTTTGTTAAAAGTTTTTGCATCCGTCTTCATGATGGATACTCGGTCATTTTCTTTTTTTGTGATATCCTTGTCAGGTTCTGCTGTCAGAGTTATGCTGGTTCCATAGAATGAACAGAGAAGTATATCCTCCTCCTCTATTTTGTTAAAGAGTTTATGTAAGGTTGATATTGTTTCTTCTTTAGTGTTTGGTACTAGTGAAGCCGTTTGGGCCAGTTTTCTTTGTGAGAAGTTTTGATATTACAAATTCAAATTCGTTAATGGATAAATGGCTAGTCAGGTGATTTATTCTATCAGTTTTGGCAAGCTGTGTTTTTCAAGAAATTTGTTTCATCTACGTTGTCAGATTTGTCGACTTAAAGTTCTTTGCATTGTCCCCCTATTCTCCTTTTAAGTTGGTGGGATCTACAGTAGCAGTCTTCTTTTATTTTTAATGTTGATAATTTGAGAGTGAGAGGTGGAAAGCACAGATCTAAGCCTGGGACTGGGATCCTGGAATTAACAAGACTCATTCTGAAAATCTTTCAGTTTAGCCCTAAATTGATTCTCGAGCTCAACCTTCAGAGTAAAAGATGTCTCTGAGGGATAGAAGAGAAGAAAATGGGAAGGGGGTGGGTAATTCATTTTCTGGGCTCAGTAGGTCCACTGATGGGAACTGGGCTTTGAGTAAAGAAGCACAAGCTTGTGTGGGGAAGGGGAGCGTGTCCAGCCAGCCGAAACAATATCATGGTTGCTCTGAACTTAACTAGCACCTGTGCCCCAGATTACTTCTCAAGGGAAGAGTAGAGTCAGTGGCATTTCATTATAATAAAGGGGAGTTCAGCCAAGGAGCAGTCAAAAATAGCAGACTATTTTAATAGAGACTAGCCTTTGGGCCATTTTCACTCACCCTATTTCTCTGAAGTTTCCAAACAGTTGTTCTAAACAACTAAAGGAATATTTTCAATGTTTTGTGTAATAATATTATGTTACTAAACACTAGGTGTGACTTTAATTTATATTTTCATATAAAAAGTTTATATTCAAGTGATTTTGCACTGTGCTTTGACTAGCTTTGGTTTAACTATAGTTTGGATTTATCTATAATCTCTCCTCTCTTTTACCTGCTCATAATAGAATGTACAACTTTGACTTCATCTCTACTAATTGTTCAGCTTATCTGTGTTCCTTTTTTTGTTTACTTGATTTTTCCTTGGGTGGTAATTGTCATTTTCAATTTCTTCAATTTAAGTAGATTTTGAAAAGTCTCAAGTTTTCTTTAGAATGAGCTTGTTTTTAGACAAATGATATGTGTTTATCATTGAAAAATTTAAGCAATATAGAAAAGAACAAAGATGATAGGAAAAAAAAAATTCATGTAGGCATCATCATGAAATAACCATCATTAAATGAGATTTCTTCAAGAGTATTCCTGCATGTATACAAGGAGAAAGCCTGGCTGATAAATAACTGGTTTTACATAAAATGATTGATTTTAATACAATGTAACTTAAAATAAGAAAAAGAAGCCAAAGTGAAAGAAGAAATTGCTGAACATAGGATAATTATTTCTTCATCTCAAGAAATAGCAGTTTCTAAAAACTCCCTAAAAGGTTAAGAAAATATATGATGAGAGTGTTAGGAAATTGGACTCTCTCTAACTTTTTTAAAAAATTGGGTTTCAATTTTAGGTTATATTAATCAACACCCTGCTGTGAAAGAGGAAAAATAAATTACATCATACTTCAACCCACTTCCCCATTCGTCTCTTCCCATTTTTGTTGGTGTTTGTTTTGGGTTTTAGTTTAGTTTACTCTGTTGGAGTAAATAATCATTTATCTTCTCTAACCATATTCCTTCCACTGTTTACTCTTGCTTCTGTATTTACGTGGATTTACTGCTCCCCATAATTTCTCTTACCACAGTCCCTGCTGCCTCAGGTTATGATGATTCATCACGTGGTTGGATGTATTTTAACATCATGTACTTTTTTTCCAGAAGGGCTCAGAGGTGTCAGATTCCTTAAGTTTTTGAAAACTTAGTTGCCTTTCTCTCCTCCCACTCATCTCAACTTGAAGGCTTTATGGTCTTCTTAAATTCCAGCTTCTGAGGATGGTCTCACATCTTTTAAGTCTCTTCCCCGCTCCTCCCCTCAAGAAATCGTCCTTTGAGATTCTCTTGCTCCAGTCTGAATTGATTAGCATCCAGAGCCTGAACTTTTGAAATATTTATTTAAATGATGTTTATTGACCTGGAGTCACTTTGGTTTTCAGTTTGGTATTCTGCCAAGGACAAAGTCTGGAAAGGTTTGTAAAACAACGTGAAAAAGAATGGTAGCAAACTACACACGCTGTTTTGGAGCTCGCTTTTTTTTTTTTTTTTTTTTTTTTTGCGGAGGAAGACTGACACTGGGCTAACATCCATGCCCATCTTCCTCTACTTTATATGGGACGCCGCCACAGCATGGCGTGCCAAGCAGTGCATCGGTGCATGCCCGGGATCCGAACCTGCGAACCCTGGGCCGCCACAGTGAAGTGCGCGCACTTAACCGCTTGCACCACCAGGCTGGCCCCTGGAGCTCGCTTTTGTCATTTCATATATCATAGTGGTGCTTCCGTATCAGTACATAAAGATCTCTTTCTCTTTAAAGACTGTATAATAATCAGTCCGCTGACTGGATGTATCATGATGAATTTAGCGTGATTGAAGGGCCTTTAGGTGACTTTTAAATATTTACTGTTAGTGACAGTGCTGCAGTGAATAGCTTTATATCTATGCCATTTTTTGGTATATTTGTAGGATCAATACCTAGAAATGAAATTTGTGTCAAAGGGTATATACAGTTGTTTTAGTATGAAATAATTCGTAGACAAAAGGAGGACTTATAATTTGTATGTAAGGAATAAAGAATTAGGGCCGGCCCCGTGGCTTAGTGGTTAAGTGCGTGCGCTCCGCTGCTGGCGGCCTGGGTTCGGATCCCGGGCACGCACCGACGCACCTCTTCTCCGGCCATGCTGAGGCCGCGTCCCACATCCAGCAACTAGAAGGACGTGCAACTATGACACACAACTATCTACTGGGACTTTGGGGGGGAAAAAAAAAAGGAGGATTGGCAATGGATGTTAGCTCAGAGCTGGTCTTCCTCAGCAAAAAGAGGAGGATTAGCATGGATGTTAGCTCAGGGCTGATCTTCCTCACAAAAAAGGAAAAGGAGTAAAGAATTAAAGCAACAGTCATGTACCTAGCACCAAGTTTTAGAAACAGCATTACCAGTGCCCTGTAACTCCCTGGGTGCCCCGTGGTAGTTATCTTCCTCTCCCTCCCCTGCAAGGGCAAGAAATATTCTGAATTTTGCATTTATTATTCCTCTGCTTTTTGTTACAGAGTTAAAACGTATTTATGAAACCCTAAACAACACGTCAAGTTTTGCATATTTTTGTACTGGTTATAAATTGCATTGTTTGTATTTGTCTGCAACTTGCTCTTTTCGCTCAGCACTGAAGTTTTTCACATGCATCCTTGCTCTATAGTATTGCATAGTGTGAGTCTACCACATCGTATCTGTTCTCCTGTTCGTGGACTTGAGGGTTGTGTCTAGTTTTTGGCTATCATGTACAGTGCTTCTGTGAGCATTCTTACACGCCTCTCCTAATTCACACGTGCAAGAGTTTCTCTGGAATATATTGACCAGACCATATGGTATGCCAATCTTCAGTTTATTTAGGTAACCTTTTAATTGAAATATATAAACAGAAAATTCACAAATCAAAACGCCATAGCTCAATGAATTTTCACAAAATACCCATTTAGCCGGCTCCCAGCAAAGAAATTGAACACCTAGGAGCCCCTCAGAAACTCCCTTGTAGCCCCTTTCACTCACAACCTCCATCCCTTGCTCTCCCACTTGCTGTTCTGACTTACAACACTATAGACGTTTTGCTTGCTTTTGAACTTGACGTAAATGGAATCATACAGTGTGTATTCTTTTGGGTCTGGCTTCTTTCTCTCATGTTGTTTGTGAGTGCATCCATGTTGTAGCACGTAGTTGTAGTTTGTTCCTTCTCATGGCTGTGTAGCAGGACATTGTTTGAATATAATACAGTTTATTTATCCATTTTACTCTTGATGGACTTCTGGCTTGTTTTTAGCTTTTTTCTATCTCAAACAATGCTCCTTTGAAAAATTTCTAGTACTTGTGTTGGTGTACGTGTACGAGGATCTCTCTAGAAATTATAACAAGGTTAGAATTGCTGGGCCTATGGTGTGTATATCTTCAGTTATACAAGACAATGCCAAATTACCAAGCATGTAAAATTTCATATTTTGTCAAATTGCTCTCCGGAGTTGTTATATTCCTGTAGATTTCCACCTAGGACATCCTTATGAGAGTAGCTATCTTCCCCATACCCTCGCTCATACAGTGTTTTATCACACTTTTTTTCTTTGCCAGTGTAATAGGTGAAAAGGAGTATCTTATTGAAGGTAAATCGACACAGAAGACTGTATTTCATAAGTAAGCCTAATTAACACTTGATTTTCTTTTGCAGCCAGAGACCTCAGATCACTGTTCTCTTCCAGAAGATCTAGTGAGTATTTCTGCATATTCTAGACTAGAGTTCATTGCATCTTTGGTGATATAAGTACTATAAGCAAATGACAATAACAGTTTTATGAGTTTCTCTCTTTCTTTGGTTGCTGGTCAAGGGCTTTTTCATCTAACATGATAACTATACGATGAAAATGCTAGCAATAGTGGTATTACGGGTGATTCTCCCCCAACTTAAAAAAAAAAAAAGTTATATTGCTCTACATTAAAAGGAAATAAAAAGGAAGAAATTGCTACCTTGCCTTATGACAAGGATCAGGCTTGTTAGACTTGTTTTTCATGGGTGGCTTTATGACCTTACCTCCACTTGAGTCCTTCCACGAAAAGGGCAAGAGGCCCGTAATTTGATGGTCTTGGCCCAGATTCAGCTGTGAGAGTGTTCTTGTGTATTCTGACCTTATCGTGACTGCTTTGTCCTGTCCCTGCCCAGATATGGAAGGGGAAGCAGCATCTCCAGCTGGCAAAGCCTCGTCACATTTCATTTGTCTTAATAAACATTGCTACCTGAGCTGGCAAAGTCCATGGGCCATAAAACCACATCCAGTGGCTGTTTTGGAAGATGATTTTTTAAAAATTCTGAGTTTCTAAAATTCTGAGATTCTGAGTTATTTTGCATTTCAGTGATTCGGGATTGTTAATTTGCAGTTTTTCTGGATGTCTGAATCTCAGGGACTATGACTGATTTTTAGGCACTGGGAGAATTGAGACCTAGCAAATCTCCTTTAAATCCATTCTCTTATACAAAGGGGTGTGTGAGATGCACATACACATGTATATTTTTTTAAATAATATAGTCTTACCCACAAACATTTCCATAGTAAAGCAGTGCCCAAATAATTTCTAGATTTAGGGTAGACAGGCTGACATTATAGAAAGAAAGTAAAAAATAACTTTAAATACAGTTACAATACCCTATGAATCCATCCCCTAATATTCAGCCCATTTTGCACACAGAAGAATCTGAACTTTAGGACAGAGACCATATTCTTGGGATGTAAGAACTTTAAAAAGTTCAGAGGAGTCCTTGGATGCTCATCTGCCAGTTATTTATTTTTGTGTTCAGTTAAGAAAGAGTCAGGAGCAGGTTTATAGCCATAATCACCAACCTTACCCTTTTTCTATTCCTACGGATTTTAGGGTGACTTTTAAAGCAGTTTCTAAATTTTGAGTGCCTGTGTTAGTTTCCTAGGGCTGCCATAACAAATTACTGCAAACTGGGTGGTTTAAAGCAACAGAAGTTTATTGTTTCATAGTTCCAGAAGCTCTAAGTCTGAAATCAAGGTGTTAGCAGGGTCGTGCTCCCCCTGAGGCCTCTAGGGGAGGATTCTTTTTTGCCTCTTCCAGCTTCTGGTGTTGCCAGCAATCCTTGGCTTATAGAAGCATCACTCCAGTCTCTGCCTGCATCATCACATGACCGTCTTCCTATGTGTCTCCCCTGTCTCTGTGTCTCTTCTCCTCTTATAAGGACACCAGTCATAGTGAATTTAGGGCTCACTTGACTCCATTGTGACCTAATTAAATCTGCAAAGACCCTATTTCCAAATAAGGTCACATTCTTAGGTTTTGGGTGGACGTGAATTTTGGGGGAATGCTATTTAACGTAGTATAGTGTGCTAATAGATTGACTATATCAAGTGTGATTTCTTCAGTGGTATGTGTATTAAAGGTGAGAGTGGGATTTTCGATGGCATATCAACAAAATTATATCCAGGTGTCCAGGAATGGTGAGTGTGTTGAGAGAACACACTTGGAATGGCAAGATCAAGTGCTAGTTTATTAGTCACTGTTTGAGTTTCTCATATTCCAATGCCGAGGCTGGTTGGAGCACCCTCAAGTGGGCTTCAAGGGGGGAAGAGAGACTAGGGGGAGGTAACAGGATGGCAGGGTGTCTCTTGGTCCTGACTCAATTTACCAACACAGCTACAAGACTTCCAGAAAATGGAAGAGACTGGGAAGAGTCTGGGTTCATGTTTTTTAAGGCACCTACATTCTGCCCTCTACATGGTCCATTTGGAATGTCAGGATCTGAACACTCATTTTATTCTCTCCTTGGGGCTGAGCTTGGAGGGAGGCCCACAGAGGCACCCCTCGTGTGTTGGGGAAGGGACTGAAGCTTGCCTTCTTTTCGGTACAGCACAGGCTGGTCAAGGGTAGCCAAACCTAAAACACACCTTGAGAACAAAGATTGCAGACTGAAATGGCCTGAGGGGTCAGGCAAATAAAATGAATGTGTTAAGCAGCTAGGAGTATTTTATACGGGGTGTTGGGCTTGTAGTAAACTGAAAAATGCTTGCCCTAGATTTGGACTCTGTGAAATATGGAGGCCAAACAAAACGCATCTCCAAACTAGCTTCACCCTGTAAACCTTGAGTTCAGAAACCCCTGCTTGATGCCAGCTGGCATTTGCTGGGAGCATGGAGAACTGACAGCAGAGGGTCCCTGAATTTCAGGTTTCTGTATCAGATTCTTAGAATTCTTGGCGTATACATTCAAGATCACGTTTAGAAAAGGCTGTCTAACGTAGGATTTGTGGCAGTGTTGCTTCAGAAGCCAAGTAAGTTTATTTTTATGGCTGTAGTTAGTCATCGTGGGATGCTTTGATCCAGTGACTCCATATGGTAAAGCAACTCTTGAATGTGATCACATATTTTAAGACCGAAAATAGCTTTTTTTTGTTCATTTCTACATTTAGCATCTTATTTTGATGGTTATAGTGTCCTGTCCCCTCTGAAAGTTTTTTAGTAACCTCTGGCAAAAAGCAGGAATGCTTGACTACTACTTAGGAGAATGATTTTCTATGCCAACTTTCTCAATTTCGATTATCTTTTGATCCTAAGTAAAAAGAGGGGATGGATGATAAATGATTCCTGAAAAGAAAGAAATTTCTCCTGTCAAACTTAAACCTAGGCTTGCAATATGGGAAATGGATGAGCTTTAAGACTTACCTAAAGTTGGGGTTTTTTTTGAGGAGGGGCAGGGGAGAGGGGGAGGCTGTTGCCGTCTATCTGAAGGAACTCTGCCTAGGAAACATTCTTTCTGGGAATCGCCAAGCATTTTTGTTTCTAAATCTGAGTGTGCAGAACTCGGGTGTAAGATTGTTGAGTGGGAAAAGGCAGAGTAGAGGATTAAGGATGAATGCAATGAGGAGAATCATCTGTCCTTGGCTGAGTCTGCATGTACATTCCTTGTCTGCCCTTGCCTCTCTTTGTCTTGCTCTGCCCCATTTCAGAGAGTGTCGGAAGTTTCCAACCATTGGTGGTACTCCATGCTCATCCTACCTCCTTTGCTGAAAGACAGCGTGGCAGCACCCCTGCTCTCTGCCTACTACCCCGACTGCGTTGGCATGAGCCCCTCCTGCACCAGCACGAACCGCGCAGCCAGCGACGCCAGCCCCGGGAAGCTGGAGCACTCCAAGGCAGTCCCCTCTGTGCTGGGTGAGAGCTGGTCCTGGCACACCCTGCTTTCCCTTCCCCCCTCTTTCCCTGGGCATGTGTGGGTGAGCAGAATGGAAAAGACTTTTTTAATATGTTCAACATACGATATAAAGCACCTCGTTATTTCGTGGATTTGGTTATACTGTGGATCAGTCATATCATTTTTGTATTAATGATATACATTAATTTAATTTAATTAATAATTTGCAAGTTCATTTTTCCCTCAGTAGTTCAGAAAGCCTGTAACACTTGTCCAGGCATCATGTCTATGGGGTTTAATGAGTATTTATTTGAAAGTTGGATCACTGCGTAATTTGATGATCACACAGATTCTGACAGATCAGAAGAAAGTTGTGACTATATGAGCAGCTCTTCTTTTTTCTGAGTCTTTCTGCTCCTCATTATGCCATTGGTGATCTCAGAAAAATGATCCACTCTTGAAAAAATTGAAAACTTCAGGTCAGGCAGGCATGCTGTTGACCATGTACTTTAAAGGAATCTTAAAAATTCTACATCAGAATTCCTAGTGTACAAGTGAGAATTCTAGATCTTCTGCCTGCACACTAACAGACTTCATTTTTGATGGTGCAAATAGATTTTGACATTGTGGTCCTATCTTAAGATTTTTAACTAATAACATTGGGCCCTCTAAAAATGTAGATGTGGTTGAAGTCAAAGCTGAAGTGATAAATCCCAGCGTTAAGGACGGTGGAATGAAACAGGCACCCAAATACCGCTAGTGGGCGTGTACATTTATGAAGGACAATTTGGCAGCATGAATCGAAAACCTCAAAATAGATTCCCTTTGACCCTAGGAATTTATCCTAAATTATCAAAGTAGATTATCAAACGTAAGTCTGGAGATTTATATGCAAAGAAGTTTGCGTGGCATTGTTTATACTAGTGAAATAATTGGATGAAATTTAAATGCCCAGCAGGAGGGGGATGGTTAAATAATAAATAAAATATATGTCCATTGAAGTCATATTTAATGACATGGGAAAATGTTCATGATGTCATAAACTTTAAAAAGCAGATTAGAAAACAGCATTTTTTTCTGGCTTTATAAAAAATATCTGTTATATTAATATTCTCTAGTTGTAGAAACAGAACTGATAGACTTTCCTCCTAAATGTAACCCCACCACTCAAGGGTTACCAGGAGTTAGTGGTTGTTACTTATTTTTGTGAACCTATTCATTTTATAATCAGAAAAATTCTAATAAAAATTACTTTTAAAATATATTTACCTGAGGAGTTGGTGTTCAGTGGGTATAGAGTTTCAGTCTTACAGGATATACAAGTTCTGGAGATCTGTGGCATAACAATGTGAATATACTTAACACTACTGAACTGTACACTTAAACATGGTTAAGATGGTAAATTTTATGGTATGTGTTTTATTTTTACCACAATTAAAAATGAAAAAAACATTTCTATGCCACAGAAATTGAATTTGTGATGACAGAAAGGGAAAAATATTTAATTCATGCATATTTTGTCTGACTGGATGGAGGAAGCAGAAATATTTGTGTAGGACAGACTATGGGGCTTGTCTAGGCTCTCCCTTTTGGTTTGTTTTTGCTCTTTAGTTTCCCCGGATGTGGAAGTTACAGCTTGTAGGATTTGCCTGTTCTGTCTCCTGTCAGTTCCAGGCATGAACCGGTACTTCCAGCCTTTCTACCAGCCCAATGAGTGCGGCAAAGCCCTGTGCGTGAGGCCAGACGTGATGGAGCTGGATGAGCTCTATGAGTTCCCGGAGTATTCCCGAGACCCCACCATGTACCTGGCTCTGCGGAACCTCATCCTTGCACTGTGGTATACTAACTGCAAAGTAAGTGGAGGGCGTGGTAGCTAACAGCACGTGGACAGAGACTTTTGTGGAAAGAGAGGAGCTCTTTTACCAGCGTTTCTCCATCTCAGCAGTGTTGACGTTTTGGATGGATAATTTAGTGTGTGGGAGGGCTGTCCTGTGCATTGTAGGATGTTTAGCAGCATCCCTGGCCTCTATCCACTAGAAGCCAGTAGCACTTCCCAGTTGTGACAACCAAAATGACTTCAGATATTGCCAGATGGGAGCAAAGTCTCCCTTTTCTGAGACCCACCACTTTAGACCATATGTGATCAGAATTCTTGGCTCTCTGGTGAGTGAGTATAAGGTGCAAAGTTTGGTTCAAAGTGTTCTGGTGGCAATGCCAGGAGAGAAAAAATGAAACACTAAAGGTTGGATTATAAACCCATGGGGCAGAGATTCTTGTTCACCTCATTATCCTCGAACAACTGAGACTAGTGCTTTGCTCTCTGTTGGGACTGAATAAATATTAGGGGCCTCGCAGAGCACCCTCCTTGAAAGGGGTGAAAATAAGTTGGGGGGTGGGATACAAGCTTTTTTATAAAACAAAGGCTTTCCTGACCCTAGTATTTTTCTGATTTATTAATTCCTTCTGCAATTATTTGAGTGACTGCTAAATGCAGACATTTTGCAATTCTGCCAAGGTAATCTTGATTAAAGCATTCCACCCTGGCATTTCACTGGATTAGACTCCAGGATGAGATGACCTGATTAAGCTGTGGCTGTTAAGGCAATGTCTAGGCATTATACCCAGGTGAGAAGGTAGACAAGGTGGACTTACTCATTTCCTCCCCAGCAGGCTTGAGGTAGATGCTCAATAAACATTTGCTGAACTGAACAAAATTGTGGTCAGAATTTCCTGTGAATAAGTTGTAAAGAGACACTTTTCAGCAACAGCTTTGGATTCATTTTTCTTCACATTTTTTAGTTGACTTTGAAATTTGGCTTACACAGGGGAGGAATCTTATAGAAAAATCCCTGAACTTGTCAGTCTGGATCTATTTTAATTTTTAACAATAAGATAGTATGTATTGTATATATTTAATACTCCCGTGGAAAAACACAAATATGTTTGCTTTAAAAGAATCAAAAACTTTGACATGATTTTTTTTAAACTTCATAAATACAAATGTTTTATCTTCTACAGCGATCTGAGCCAATGTGTACATGTTATTTCTTGAACACTTCCAGTTAGTCATCTTCCTTTGTTTGATCAGGATCTGGTGGAGCTGGGGGTTGGGGGCAAGTAGAGGAGAGGCCTGGGGTGAGGACCCCTCGCTCCCATGCCTGTGGGACACTGGGCCGAGGCAATGGCCTGGTTACTCTTGAATCTCTGAAATGGACCGAGGCCTTGCCAAAGCTGGGGTGAGCCGAGAAAGGCAGTGTCTCTCTTTTTTTTTTTTAACAACTTCCTAAATGGGTTCCATCACGTCTTATTGGTGATAAGAATCCAATTTTTCCTGCTGCCAGTACAGGCAGCAGCCTGGGTTTCTGCAGTGGCCTTTGTTGTGTGGTTTATTGAGTCAGGAATATACTGGGATGTAGTCTGCCCCCACACTCCCTGGAGCGGTTATTCTCGGTGATGGGAAACTTAGGTGATAAAATACAAATGGCTATGTCTTCCTTTTGTTCCTTCCTTCTTTTTTTTTCTTCACCAGGCAAACTTCCCTTTGATCTTTTGTTTTCTTAGTGATCTTTTATATCTTAGTGATAAATGATGGATTTGAATTACCCTGAGAGGTTTTATTTAATTGTAGTAAAATACACAACGTAAAATTTACCATTTTTACTGTTTTTTCTTTTTTTTATTGTGAAATTTTTGTTGTACATTATTGTTTGTCAGTCACCATTTAAATTCATCCCACCACCCCTTGTGCCCACCCCCCACCCCCCGAGCCCCTGGTAACCACCAAATAGTTCTATCTGTCCGTGTGTTGGTTTATCTTCCGCATATGAGTGAAATCATGCAGTGTTTGTCTTTGTCTTTCTGGCTTATTTTGCTTAACATAATACCCTCCAGGTCCATCCGTGTTGTTGCAAATGGGACGATTTTGTTGTTTCTTCTGACTGAGTAATATTCCACTGTATATATATGTATCATATCTTCTTTATCCAATCATCAGTTGTGGGACACTTGGGTTGCTTCCATGTCTTGGCTATAGTGAATAATGCTGCGATGAACATAGGGGTGCATAAGCCTCTTTGGATTGTTGATTGCAGGTTCTTTGGGTAGATACCCAGTAGTGGGATAGCTGGATCATAAGGTATTTCTATTTTTAATTTTTTGAGGAATCTCCATACTGTTTTAATGTACAATTCAGTGGCATTAAGTACATATACAATGGTGTATAGCCATCAGCACTATCTAGTTCCAGAACTTTTTCATTACCCCAGGCAGAAGCTCCATACCCATTAAGCAGTGACTTCCCATTTCTCTCTTCCCCCAGCCTCAAGCAACCACTAATCTACTTTCTCTCTCTCTCGATTTGCCTATTCCAAGTATTTCATATAAATGGAATCTCACAAATATGGGCCTTTTGTAGCTAGTTTCTTCACTTAGCATGATGTTTTCAGGGTTCATCCATGTGGCAGCATGTGTCAGTGCCTCATTCCTTTATATGACTGAATAATATTCCATGTCTGGATAGACCACATTTTGTTTATCCATTCATCAATGGATGGACACTTGGATAGTTCCCACCTTTTGGTTATTCGAGTAGTGCTGCTGTGAACATTTTGTTTGAACGTGTTTCCAGTTCTTCTGGTTACATACCTAGGAGTGCAATTGCTGGGTCGTGTGGTAATTCTATGTTGAACTTTTTGAGGAACCAAGAGTTGTTTTTTATTTGTTTGCTTTAACAGTTTGGTTTTATTTCCAAACACAGGAAGCTCTTACTCCTCAGAAATGTATTCCTCACATCATTGTCCGGGGCCTCGTGCGCATTCGATGTGTTCAGGAAGTGGAGAGGATACTTTATTTTATGACGAGAAAAGGTCTCATCAACACAGGAGTTCTCAGCGTCAGTGCCGACCAGCATCTTCTTCCTAAAGATTACCACAATGTAGGTGACTGTCTCTAGCAATAACACCGCCATCTGTCATGATAAATGCTAGTTAGTGCATTGTTAATAATACTAGTTAAAGTCATGTTATCACTATGAAAGTCTAAAGCAAGACTTTGTTAGAACATGTGCCTCCGTGGAGGAGAATAGCAAGCACTGATTGCCTAGACTGTAGAAAAGAGGAAGGGATTACTCAAGACAAGTAGGACCGTAATCTTTATGAAAATATGTAACTTTTTACGGACATCAAAGAAATGTAGATAAGCTAACATTGCCTGGCAGTTAGTACCAGAACAACTGAAACAACACGTTGTTTTCATTGCTCTAATTAGATTTTTGTTCCCTTGTCTTTTCTTTTTTTTTTTAAAGAAATCAGTCATAATTATCGGGGCTGGTCCGGCAGGATTAGCAGCTGCTAGGCAACTGCATAACTTTGGAATTAAGGTAAGATTTTTGGCACATGGAGGCGGAAACAGATGGTTAATTGCTCCTTTGGTCAAAATTTTCTAAGACTTAGAAACCAGTTCCTGATTTTAGCGAAGAATGCTAAATACATTATATCTTTATATCTTTACAGTCGATCCTAGAAGAGATGCAAAATTTGAAATTGGTTTAAAAAAAGAAAAGTAGAGGAAAATAGAAATTACTACAACTTTGGAGAGGGTTTTAGACTCTAATGAGCAAGTCAGAAGAGATTCTAAGCTGGTATTAAAGCAGAAATTCTTGACAGGTTGTTATTGACATAATAGAGGGGTCATTGAGAAAAATCTCTGTTTCTGCAATAGTTTGAGATGACAGTAGCTTGGAAATTCACTGTTTCTTGTATAAAAGTTTCTGAAATACACTGTTAAGTTTTCTTATGCAAATCAAAGGCACCCTTTGAATCCTGCTCTGGGAAACAAAAATCTTTGCTTTTGGAAGCAAGATTGAATTAGTTAATCCATTGGTTGAGACAGAATGGCATGACTTTTATTAAAGTACTGTACATATTTAGGTAGCCTGCTTCCTCAGGGTGGGATATTTTTTCTTTTTATCCAGTATGTTGCCTTATTCCAGTTATTCAAAGTTAGCCAAAATAGAGACTGTTACAAAAAACCATTTGTGCGATTCAGTATCTAATTTCCATTAGATCCATTCAAATTAGCCATTTCCTAGATTTCTGTGACTTCCTAAGTCTGACACATTTCTCTTATTTAAAAATTTATTTTGCAAAGACTTTGATTTTCAGTTAAACCAAATGTGAAAATTAATTTGCTGGAATTGAATTGGTCTTTTCACTCTTCTCTATCTGGCTAAAAGAAATGACTTCTTTTTTCACAATATCTTCTCTCTGCTGGAAGAGCTTCAGAAATGAGAAGAGTTTTCAGTAGCAATGCCTAAGAGGGGTTTTCCTCTTTGAATGGAAGACCTACCTCTTGGGTTACACTATATTGCTGACAAAATGGAAGAATCAGGGTGAGATTTATAGGGAGTGTGTTTCCATTTTGAAATATTTTCTTAGTGGTATTAACTATGAGGTGTTTTAATTGATCACTTATTTATTTCAGTGTAGATATTAGGGCCAAGGTTTCTTTCTTTTTTTTTTTTTTCCTTTGAGGAAGATGGGCCCTGAGCTGACATCTGCCAATCCTCCTCTTTTTTGCTGAGGAAGACTGGCCCTGGGCTAACATCCATGTCCATCTTCCTCCACTTTATATGGGACGCTGCCACAGCATGGCTTGACAAACAGTGTGTCAGTGCATGCCCAGGATCCGAACCAGCGAACCCCGGGCCACCGCAGCGGAGCGTGCGCACTTAACCACTTGCACCACCGGGCCAGCCCCAGGGCCAAGGTTTCTTGTTTGTTTTTTTTTTTACTTGGCAAACCCACAGATTATATTGCAGGAAAAACTATTAATATCCAAAATTTAGGGGGCTGTCTTGAATGTTTAGCTTTCTTCTTACACTAAAAGGAACCTAGAAACAGAGAGTTCTGTGATAATCTGAAGTCAGAGAGAGTGGGGAGAGGAGAACCACCAGTTGCAGCTTTCCTAGTTGGAGAAAATGAGGAATTTAGGTCTGAGGAAGAAGAATATTTAGGAGACTCTTTTCACTGTCCCCTTTCTCTCACCAGGTGATGAGGGAGGCCCCACCAAGACTACCCAACCGTCTCAGGGTTGGGAAATAGATTCCTCGGAGTAACCTGAGAGATGGTTGACTCCTTGAGCAATTTGAAGGGGTATTTTTGCGCATCCAGACATGAAATGACTGGCATTGTGCTGACTAGGACTCACATCTTCAGTTACTGCAGCCCGGGGAGGTGTCACTCTTTGAGTCATAGGGGTGTTCACCGAGAGCAGCGCCTTGTGTCACCAGCATTAGAAATTTGGAGATGAAATAGCCTGGGTGTGGGACCAACCTGCTTAGGCCAAGCCCATGAGGTCCTACTTAGATAGAGTTGCATATGGTTTTTTAAATAATAGTCATATCTTAGGGAATTTAAGGCCTATTTGCAATGCTAAAGGGATTTTGCTACATATATATATTTCATAGGACAAAATCACCTCTTCAACCTAGTTTTAATAGTGCTATTTAATAATGAAATACTGTTTAACAAAAGCTTTCAAAGTGCGTTTCACATGCTAGTTCATCAAATCTTATGGGATTTGAGAGGGAACAGTTTGAGGGATTTCTCCAGCAGAGCACTCACTTCTTGCTAGAATCTAGATTGTTTGTTTTAACATCTACTTTGGTCACTGTTCACCCTCTTTTTAAAATGATTTCTCTAGTAATATAATACGTTAACCAAACATGGAACTTATTTAATTGTGTCATTCTGCATTTATAGTCCTGCATTTGATTTGACTATTCCGTCCTATTTTGCTTCCCTGATTGTCATTTTAGGTGACTGTCCTGGAAGCCAAAGACAGAATTGGAGGCCGAGTATGGGATGATAAATCTTTTAAAGGTGTCACGGTGGGAAGAGGAGCCCAGATTGTCAATGGCTGTATTAACAACCCAGTAGCACTAATGTGTGAACAAGTGGGTTTCTTTAAGATTTGTATTGAAGATAAAGAAAAGAAAAATGGTCTCAATTTGCTTGTGTATAGCATATGCTTCTAGATAATATATAACAACCCCCAAATGATTTTTTGCCCACTCATCCATCCTCTTTGAAAAGTAAATAAAAACAATTACGGTTCTTTTTTTCTGAGAAGGTGGAACTAGAGGACTTAAAATGTTTTTTTCTTTTTCTAAGCTCTTTAATTTGTGTGTCCTTTGCAGGCCACTTGATAGTTTTAGGGTTGTCAGATTAAGCAAATAAAAATACAGAATTCCCCATTAAATTTGACTTTCAGATAAACAACAAGTAATTTTTTAGTATAAGAGTGTCTCAAATATTACACAGGGTATTTTGCATGCAAAATTTGGGACACACACTAAGAAAAATTATTTGTTGTTTATCTGAGAGTCAGATTTAACTGGGCATCCTTTTATTAGGCAATACATAGTTTCTATGAAGTCTTGGTAAGCCCAAGGTTTTTTCTGAAATATTTATTGACAGTAAATTCAATTCCAACTTCTGCTGTGAGTGTATGTGTGGTTGTGCCCTTTGGAGATAGAATGTCAGAGCAGTGCACAGCTATAGCATCTGAAGCATTAATAAATAGTGGCTGAAAAGCTATAGAGTGCATGGCATAGAAGCTGTTGCTGTCACCCTCGCATTCTCATAAGGTCTCATAGATTTCATGCTGTTTTTTCACTGCCTTAATTTGCTGACATTCCCTGTTAAGCATATTTGGCTTTATTTTTGAGAGGTACTAGACCATTTTCTCCATGAGAGCTCTGTCTAATTTCAGCTTAGAACCTGTACATATTTTTTCCAGGGAAAATTTTCACCTTCTTATTCTTATTATTTTGAAGCTTGGCATCAGCATGCATAAATTTGGAGAAAGATGTGACTTAATTCAGGAAGGTGGAAGAATAACTGACCCCACTATTGACAAGCGCATGGATTTTCATTTTAATGCTCTCTTGGATGTTGTCTCTGAGTGGAGGAAGGATAAGACTCAGCTCCAAGATGTCCCTTTAGGAGGTATGGGGAGAATGGTGTTCTGATTGTTCCCTCTGAGTCTCATTCTAACCTAAGCTTGATGAGCAGTAGCATCATTCATCCACGAGGTTGGATGTGTGCAATGAGTGGTCTTGATGAGCATTCCTTTTGGACTGATGAGTTCTCCAGACTGTTCTGCAGAGGAGAGCAGAACTTCCTCAGGGACCTTTAGATGCTAGTGTGTGCACACACACACGCAAATCTTGCTTTACACAGTAGCTGGTGTTTACAAAAATTATTGAAATGTTAATTTTCAGTTTCCCAGAGGAGCTTACTTTTAAGGAAACATGTGGTAAGCCCTATGTGAACAGTCACCCCATAATGTCTTTTCTTAGATAAGGGTTTCTGTATGCCGGGATTTCTTCTCTTTTCCTTTTAGGTTAAGATTTTTTCAGTATATTTTGTTTAAGAATGCAAGAATGTGTATTATAATTTAAGAATTTTAATTCCAAATCCTAGGCTTTGGTACTAAATGGCTAGTATTAACCACAACCCTTTAGAAAACTTGACTGTCTCTAACGACTCATTTCTGTGAGGGTGCCAGTTTTAGTGCTATAGATTTTACTCTATTGCTTCTTAAGTTGATGTTTATTTACCCTACGATTTTATGACCTGAATGTATTCGCTTGAAGTTCTTGGAGCCATGTTGGGGTTTCTTAAAGTATGAATATGTGAACTCAATTTGCAAGATGCTAATTTGCTTCAACTGTGTGTTTCTTTGCAAGTGTTCTCAATTCTCCAGCCTGGTATACACTCCATCTCTGTTGAGGGTCCACTTCTCAGTAGCAGGGACTCTCTTCTTTTTATCCTTCCCCTCCCCCTCAACTACCTCTACCCACAACCTCTGAGACTGACCCACATTCTAATCGCTCTTAGTAAGTGTTGACAGACAAACCATAACAGAACATTCTCAGCGATCTGAGGTCAGTAGGGATTATTTAATCAAATGTGGTAGTGTCCAGACCAAGTGGTGAGTTGTTGAGTTTTCTGGAATTGAAGACAGTTATTAGGCTGACTTGCAGGATGTTCTCAGAATTTGGTTAGTATTTTGCACATGTGTGGTAGTCACTGGATGGGGTTTTCTTTATACTTCTTTTGGGGTCACCAATAAAACAGTTAATAATATTGCTTTGTCTTGGCCTTAAAGTTATTAAGGGAGGATCAGCAACACTTACTGTGTAAGTAGTTGTTTCATCTTATTAATATATTTTTTAAAAGCTTTAGTGATAGTGCACACAACTGTGTATAAGGTTACAGTTATATCCTGCCTAGGAGTATCTTACTGTCTGAGATCCACCTTATTAGTTAGCACTTAGCCTAAAAAGACAAAACATGAATACAAAGAGGGTAGAGTTAATTTTACAAAGTATATGTACTAAAGCTTTTAAATATTATTTACATAAAAATCACATTAAGGCTTATCTTAATCTGTTGATACTTCATTTTATATATTGTTCTAGCAATCTTGGTTCTTTCCGAACCTCTACAAAACCTAAAGGAAAATAGAAACCACATAGCAGGAGGCAGGAATGGGACTGCTAGAAAAACGTACTGAAAGTGGTAAAGAAAAAAAAAAAAAGCCCAGTAGTGTAGGGGCAAAAGCTTGGCACAAATCCAGAGGTGCCATGGGTGTCCCCATATTACAATCTAGTGTAAGCGCTGAAAATTTTAATGAGAATCTTGAGTCACCAAAAAAAAGTTAATTGATATTCAGTTCTATTTTGCTTCAAGCAGGAGCACAATACTTGATAGAAGCTTTGAGTCTGCGGTGTATGTGTTGGATGGTTGTCATCATTGGGAAGGTTATGAAGAAGTAACCCGTGCTAAGATGCTTATAATTTGTCAGACATGAGCCTTCCCTCCACACCCCAAATAAAGGAATCTAAGACAGTAATTGGGATGGTATCACAGGGCTGTGTATATGTAGTCGAAAGTTCCAGCCAAATGGGGTAGATAAGTGCTGGGATTGGTAAGAAAGGAGTGATTCCCCAGGCTTGCAGGTGATGCTGGGCTGTAAAGGATGGATGGGATTGGGTGGGGGAGGGCAGTCCGGTGAGGGGAGTGGTAGCAGCAGACCTTGCAGGGTTGGAATTTACCAGGGAAAGATTCAGCAGCAGTGCAGCAGAGCCTGTAAGTGGGCAGGTAGTAGTTGCTATCTTTGGGAAGGCTAAAAATGTGCTAGTGTTGTCTGGCTGTGGGTTTTGGAATTTATTGCACAGGCAATGGAGAACCAGTAATTAAAGGTATTGAGGTAGAGGGCTGACGTGATGCAAGTCCATAATGGAATATTCTTGTTGGGAGAGGATATAGCCAATAGTCAGTCTACTATAGGTCTCTTAGTTGAGGTGAGATGTTGTAAGCACGTGACTTTAAGATGAGGGCAGTGGGACCAGAAGGGGAATGGGAATCCTCTCTCCATGTGTATGTCTTTATATGTGCAGGGGTACTTTTTCTATATCTTGAGCAAAAGAAGAAGCAGTTTCTCAGCTAAGCAGGTATGAAACATGGTTGAAGATCTAGAACCTACAAAGTTTTGCTTCTAATTAGGATAAGCTTTTACTTCCTGAGAGAAACCAACCTTATCCAAAAGAAACCAAAAGAAAAGATATCCTTTTCCCCCCTGGGTTTACTTGGGAAAGGACTTCGAAACTTTGGGATTTTGTGGGGTGAAGGAGGTTGAAAGCAAAGGACGAGGAGTTAAAGAATAATGTTTTTTTCTGCTTTGCTCCCTCCCCATTACAGAAAAGATCGAGGAGATCTACAAAGCTTTTATTAAGGAATCTGGTATCCAGTTCAGTGACCTGGAAGAACAGGTGCTTCAGTTCCATCTCAGTAACCTGGAGTACGCCTGTGGCAGCAACCTCCATCAGGTGTGCCTGGGTTTTGTGAAACGTGCTTTGAAAAGGGTTGTTTTTGTGTATGTGTGTGTATTTTGAATATCTAAATATTGAACTCGGGCTGGTTTGGATAAACAGGAAACAGTGGTTCTTCTGCTTAAAAGTTTGAAAACCACGACTTCAGAGCATACTACCCCAAAGTGGTTTTGAAATATTTTCTTTAAAAAAAGCAAGAGAAACTTCTTCCAATACTGCCCATGAAGACGCTCAACGAGGAGGGCTGGTTCGGCTGAATCAGAGCGGGCCCGGAGCCTTGTGCGTTCACTGCCTTCCTCTGCCCTCCACGGAGGCCCGTGAGGCATTTCTGTGGAACCATGGCCTGAAAACACTGCTCTCAAGAAACCAAGTAGAGTTTCCTTGCAGTTATGGTCTATTTATCTTGCTAAAATAAATTTAAACCCAACTCATTTAACCAACTGTGGCCTTGCTACTCATGTGTTCTCTATTTTGAACAGAGGCCCCACAGATGACTCCTGATTTAATTGTCCTCTTCAGGACCTCTCCGTTTCCATTCGATTCCTCCCTGCAGTTGGAATAACACTGTTTTCCAAAATAATGCTGTTTCAACCTCTATAGAGTTTCCATGTTGAAGACAAATAGTTGGCATATTTATATATGGAGTTGATCAAATGCATTTTTACTCCCATAGAATTCTCCTTTTCCAAGGTTGTCATCAAGGAATGGTCCCCACGTCCAAATCTTATCTCCCCTTTGTTCTAAGCTTTCCTGTGCATCATCGAGAGATTTCTTACCCGCAACGATCAGATCCACCCGGGTTGGTCTGTTTCTCCCCTCCTTCCTTCATATCTTGTTCGTATTTTGTCCTATGCTTGGCAGCCCTGCCCTCCTGCCTCCGGTGGCTTTTCCCACCTTGAGCTCCTGTGTTGTCCCTCAGGCGCAGCCTCAAGGATTTACATGACCTCTTCTCTTCCCAACCTCTCCTGTTGTTTCCCAGGTGTCTGCTCGCTCCTGGGACCACAATGAATTCTTTGCCCAGTTTGCTGGTGACCACACTCTCCTAACTCCCGGATACTCGGTCATCATTGAAAAACTGGCCGAAGGACTAGACATTCGGCTCAAATCTCCAGTGAGTATCGACAGCGGTGGGAGGCTCTGGCTTCACTTTGTGTTTGGAGGATGTGAGGTTTGGGGCATGTGGATTACACGGGAGACAGGTGCTTGCTTTGATGCTCAGCCGTGTCTACAGGTACTTCTGTGGTACGTCATAGCCAATGATCAGCATCATTATCCGTGTCAATCAGGTAGCTGCTGCCATTTGAAAACAGGAGTGGCTCAGATGCATTTTCATTAATAATAAAGTGTTCAAGATGCTCACAACCTCCCTGACCCAATGCGATTATTTTCACTTTTAAATTTTCCCTTCCAGTCTTTGTCCCTGTGCATTTGTGTTGTACCTCGTCATAATCATGGAGGCAATTATTTATATGCATGTTTCACTTTACACTGTATTGTAAAGATTTTCCATATTCTGACGTGTTGATAAATTTTAGTGGCTGCGTGGTAGTTCCCTGAAGTAAACTGTGACTGTTGTTGAGATCTCGGAATGCCAGGAAATGATTCCCCATAGCCGTGGGGACGTAAACTCACGTAACAGGAGAATTGGAAAGGACCCTGGATCCTATGGTTCTCTCCCTCATTATGTTTTTCATAATTGTTTTTCTGGAACAGGTGCAGAGTATTGATTATTCTGGAGATGAAGTGCAGGTTACCACAACAGAGGGGACAGGGTGTGCAGCCCAGAAGGTAAGTGCTAGAATTTCACTAGGTGCAGCCAGGTGCCTGGGGGTAAGGGAAACAGTCTTCTCCACCAAGCAGTTTGCCTTTGGCAATCTGCCTGGAGCCCTTGACTTCTGAAGAGTTGTGTGTCTCTGCTTAATTGTGTGTGGATGTGCAAATCTGATTTAAATAACCTAACACTATATAGATTCATGGCAGATGGAATTCTGAATAGTGTTTGTCAAAGTGGGTGCTATGATACATTAGTCCTGAGAGCTGAACAAGCAAATTCTTTGGCCAAATAAGTTTGAAAACTATTGTATACTGCAGTCTACTTTTCGGGTTAAATATGAGAATATTAAAGCCTCTGAGAAGTCCTGCATTTAAAAAACCTATTTTACTTGGTTTAATTCAGTGCTTTCCAAGTTGGTGTTGTTTGTTTGTTTGTTTGTTTTACCATGGAACCATTTTTCAAATCAATAAAGCTCTGTGTTTTCATTTTGAAACTGGCAGAAGTACTTTTATATCATTTGAATTTTTTGTAGACAGCTTTAAGGTTTTAACAGTGAAAGATGCTGTAATGTAATATGTGAAATCACACTGAGATTTCTATATTGTTGGAGAACAAAAGTGCTTACTTGGGGTGGAGGGAGATTAATAAACATCATAAGTTTAAGTTCAGTTATGTCTGAAGTGATTACCAAAATGTATAATTGACGAACTGTCGCTAGTTCAAATATTTCACAGTCCTTGATATGCATACAGAAATAAAGGATTGCATGTCAAATGGGAAAGATGGTGTATAGTGTATGAGTCCAGGGGGATGGGGCCTCATATTGTTCCTCCTGTTAACTAGCTGGGTAGTTAGTAGTGATAGTATAGACTTTGGACTGGCAGTGGTTCTCAATCCTGGCTGCATGTTAGAATCACCTGCGAGGGGCTTAAAAAGAAAGGTTGCGAACCCCACCCTGCAGAGATTGTCATTGAATTGGTCTGGTCCTGTTTGTAAAGCTTCCTAAGTGATCGCAACACGCGGCCAGAGTTGAGAACCACTGGGTCACAGTGTCCTTATCCGTGAGTCCCGAGATGAGAATCAGGCTAATATCTAAAGTTCTTCCTAGTGGTAAAATTTTTTTTAACTATGCCTTTTTAAAATTGCAAGTCAGGGCTGACCCCGTGGCTTGGCAGTTAAGTGCGCGCGCTCCGCTGCTGGCGGCCCCGGGTTGGGATCCCGGGCGCGCACCGACTTGCCACTTCTCCGGCCATGCTGAGGCCGTGTCCCACATACAGCACCTGGAAGGATGTGCAGCTGTGACTTACAACTATCTACTGGGGCTTTGGGGGAAAAAATAAATAAATAAAATTATAAAAAAAAATAAAATAAAATTGCAAGTCGGGGGGTGCCTCAACCTGTGTTATTCTGTGACTCTGCCTCTTGGCGTCCAGGACATCACTAGTCACACTGACCCTGCCGATCACCCTCTGCCCCGACTCTGGCGGCCCGTTTGCTTCTCTTGCTTTGTATTCCGGCTCTCCAGAGAGTTAGGGCATAGCCTCAGGCTGTGTTTTAGAGCCTGCTGTGAAACGTTTAAAGCAGATAGCCTTGTTTTTCTGCTAGTCAGCACACATCACACGGTTTGAATTGGAAGTTTCCCCAGCTTATAAGTGAAAGATTTCCAACCCACCATGATACACTGACGAACATTTGACAAACGGTAATTCAGTCTAGGCTGCTTCCACTGAGCTCCCACTTTAGTTCCCTACCAGGGTATGTTTATATCTTCTGCCTACTTGTCCACCTAAGTTCATGTGCTTTTGAAAGCTTTTTTGTCATTAAGAAAACATCTGGGGGCCGGCCCGGTGGCGCAAGCGGTTAAGTGTGCGCGCTCCGCTGCGGCGGCCCCGGGTTCGCAGGTTCGGATCCCGGGCGCGCACCAACACACCGCTTGTCAAGCCCTGCTGTGGTGGCCTCCCACATAAAGTGGAGGAAGATGGGCATGGATGTTAGCCCAGGGCCAGTCTTCCTCAGCAAAAAGAGGCTGATTGGCAGATGTTAGCTCAGGGCCGAAATTCCTCACAAAAAAAAAAAAAAAAATCTAGATCTTATTTCCATGCAGTTCTGATATATCCAAGAGAGTAATTGCTCCTCTTTTTTGGGGGAGGAGGTTGCAGCTGTTATCTATAACCAGACTGAAGATAATGTGTTTTGTACTTGCTAAAATATTCATGGGACAGAAAATAGTGACAAAATCACGGGAAGAACTCTGAACTTCCTGTGGTCCTAGAATTGGGGTTAAAGCCAAATCTACTAAATCTTTGGTGAAGGCGCGGGTAGATATGGTGGTGGTGTTCAGCTCCATGCCGCTCTTGTCCTAGTGTGTTGTCCTGTACTACAGATGATGGAAAGGAAACACACACACACACACACACACACACACACTTCCCAGACTCCTTTGCAGCTGAGGTTCTAAATATGAGTTAGATCCAGCTGGTCGGATGCACTTGCAGATTTGGGAGGTAGGTGTGGCTTTTGCCTCACTTCTGACAAACCCAAGCACAGTGGTCGGGGTGTTGGGTTCTTCTGCAGCAGGGAGTAGAGGTCCCAGGCTCACTCAACAGCTACACGGGAGTCAAGAGACAGGGCACCCGGCACCTAATTTGCTGGTGCAGGTGGTTCTATATGTGGCATGGTTCTGAGCTGGTAGCAGTGGTAATGACTCCTGATTGTGGCAACGCTAATGTGGTTCTGGAGCCAGAAATTTCTTGATTATGTGCAGAGACAGCAGCTCTCTTTGATGGCCCAGTTTTGTGATGTGACTTTGAGAGTCATTCTTGAAGGCTCAGCGTAACACCTGTGTCTTCAGCCCTCCTAAATGGTGCTGAAAGCCATTTGAGACCCTGCAATAACTTCTTTCCTCCTTTAAAAAAGAATTTCATGTGGCTTTCCATGATTATAGTAATCCCTGATGTTTATGATTTGCTTTACCAGTAACAAAGCATGTTGATGTATATTGTAAGAGTTTTAGTTGAAGCGTTACCCCCGTCCTTTGAGGGGCAGGTATTACCTTTGTTTTATTTTGGCAGAGATGGGTGGTCGGAGTTAGCCACACGTTAGAAAGTGTCAGGAATGATCTACTTCTCCTGACTCTGTATTTAGGGCCGTTTCCTCCTAGAGCACTGCTTTTGAGGATTGGGATCTGTTGACTCTTCTTACCCAGGGTTATTGTTAACCATCAAGACCTTTCTGCACATTTCTCCACGTGATGCCGCTTCCATGCAGCCAGGCACCCTCATGCAGTGGACACTGTGCACAATTGTACGTGGCAGCCCTTGATCTTACCAATATAACAACATGAGATGTTGACGGTCTCGTGACTAGCAATAGAGAGGAGTGTATTTTAGGCGTTGAGATTTTCCTAGAAACGAACCCACTGAGTAGTTGTGGTGTGAGTTTCAATTGCTGTTTGTGTGTTAACTGTTATTTCCCACAGGTATTAGTCACTGTACCACTGGCCTTACTGCAGAAAGGGGCCATCCAGTTTAATCCACCATTGTCAGACAAGAAGATGAAGGCTATCAACAGCTTAGGCGCAGGCATCATTGAAAAGGTGACTAAATTACTTAAGCCTCGGAACTAAAGAGATTGATGTTAGGTGACAGGAGTTCCTTAACTTCTCATATTGGGAAGTAGTGGGTAATTTTTTGATCCAAATAAAATTCAAAGATTTCCTTGTCATTTGAATAATTGTTCATGAAGAATACAAAAGGATGTTATCAAAACCAAAGGAGGGGAGTTGGCTGAGGTCTGTGGGTTTTGACTTTAGGAGAAGGAATCTTGTTATTCAGAATTTGGATTTGGCATATAAATAAACAATTCTTAATTTTTTCTGCTTTCCGTGTCTGCCCTCCAGTAATTGGCCCCAATGAGGAAAATGTTTTACTTCCTCTGCCTTTAAAATCTTCGTTAGCAGAATCTGCCAGTGCTGTAGTAGACACCAGCAGACCTATGAATAGTAAGAATTTATCTTATGGACGTAAGCTTTAAGACCAAGTCTCCGGAATGCTTTGTATCTTCAGATTAGCCTAGAGGTTGTCAGTGGGTCCCACCATTATCCGTGAGAGGATAGGACTGAATGGCATAAAAAGGCAGATGCTCAGAGAGAACAGAGGAGGTAGGAGAATGGAAAGGATGTATTTTGGTTTGATTTTTGAACATAGTTTTAGTTAAGAGCTATAGGTTGCTTGTTAGAGATTGCTGTGCTTCTGATTTAAGAAACTCTTAACATCTTTCTCTTGCTCACTTTCCAGGTTGCCTTGCAATTTCCTTATCGATTTTGGGACAGTAAAGTTCAAGGGGCTGACTTTTTTGGTCACGTTCCTCCTAATGCCAGCAAGCGAGGGCTTTTTGCCGTATTCTATGACATGGATCCCCAGGTAAAATCATGGGTAAAGTGTGGTTTGAATATCCCCTTGTTACAGTTGAGAAGTTGGTTTGGTAATTACTCATGTGTCAAGCGCAGGAACTAATGGACATCGTGGACGCTCTGGGTATATGTTTATATTCCGGAAGGTTACTTGGGCTGGGACATTTTCCTAGAGGACAGGAGCCCCAGTATCTGCCGTATTTTCTTGAAGGACTAACGTTGCTCCCTGGGAAATGAATTAGTCGCTTGTGGAAACCGTTATTTCAGGCCAATAGAGGAATTCCTCTTAGGGAGAGGCGGTGACAGCACAGTCATGAGTGGTACTTGAAACGTACTCTCCAAGGGTCATCCAGTGAGCTCTGGTGAGGGTGGGCTGTGATTGGTTCTGGTGAGGGTGGGTCTCCGTGTCAGTACGTGTGATTGGTGGGAGAAGGAAGAAGGGAGGAGGGCATACCCGGAACTTGAAAGTTGTGATAGTGTTGATGTCGTGCCAAAGAATCACAGTTGTTTCCTTCTTTCTCTCCCTTCCAAGAAACTTTATCTTAAAAGGTTTTGCATGGGAGCCAAGGGCAAAATTTCTTTACCACTTGAGAAGGTTTTTTCCATTATCTTCTCTGCAGAGTTGCCTTCTCAACCTCGTTCTACTTCTTCTAAAACAAGTTCTTATAAGGGAGAGCCAAGGGCACCCGGAATTTGATATTTACCCTACTTGCTGAGTTCTGTCAGCAGGGAACAGTGAAATGTATAGATGAACAACGAGTGTTTGTGAGGAAAATGGACTGGTGATTAGAATGAGGGAAAGGGACAGTAGGAAATAATGAATTTTAACTTGTGAGAATGAAGCCCTGATGCGTTTGGAACCCTGCGCTTGGAGACTTTTGTACTCAAAGCAGAAAGTGTCAGCTGCTTTTCCCTTTCGTGTCTCCAGAAGAAGCACAGCGTGTTGATGTCTGTGGTCGCTGGGGAGGCGGTGGTGTCCGTGAGGAGCCTGGACGACAAGCAAGTGCTGCAGCAGTGCATGGCTACCCTGCGCGAGCTGTTCAAGGAGCAGGTCAGAGGAGCCCTCTCTGACAGGGGAAGGACATGCTTGCTGTTAACTCGGTGTGCTCCCCAGAGCGGTGTGCACCCCAGAGCACACCCTGGGTACTGCGGACGGAGGGAGCCAAGGCAGTGGGCCACGTTACTCCCTCTCCCGTTATCTCACTTTCTACCTGATTCGTCGGCTCGGGCTGCCATAACCAAGTACCACAGGTGGGGCGCTTTAAGCAATGGAAATGAATTTTTTCACGATTCTGAGGCTAGCAGTCCAAGATCAAGATGTCGGCAGGTTTGGTTTCTCCTGAGGCCTCTCTCCCTGGCTTTCAGATGGCCGCCTTCTCTCTGTGTCCTCACACGGTCGCCCCTCTGACTGCGCGTGTGTGTCCTAATCTCTTCTTATAGCCAGCCTACAAAATTATTTGAAACTTAGTGAGTATGAAACAGTGTGTAATAGCTGTTTTGTGGAGAAGCCTGTTGAGAATTCCAGCTTGAGGTCTTAGGACTTCCCTTTCCTCCTCTGGCCCAGGGACCCCTTTTCCTCCATCTCTCCAGCACATGCCAGGCCATGGGAAAGGGAATGCCTGAACCCTTAGCTGTTGGTGATGGCCCCTGGTAGGTGGGGGGAATGTGTCTAGGAGATAAAGGATAAAGTGAGGAGATGTTTGTGGGAGCTTGCAGAGTTTGGACAGGAGATAGAGGATGATGCACAAATCAGGGGCCTGGGTGGAGCTGCCAGGAGGTGGGAGGAACGTACTGAGAATTGCCGTTTCAGGATGCTCCAAGAATCAGCTCAGTTTCTAGAGGCAGGGAGGACGGTATGTTTATACTTGGATTTGCATCATGTCCAAGTCCCTTCTTGCTCCTGTGTATGATCCCTTCTACTTGACACAGGAAGTCCCAGATCCCACAAAGTATTTTGTCACTCGGTGGAGCTCAGACCCCTGGATCCAGATGGCCTACAGTTTTGTGAAGACAGGTGGGAGCGGTGAAGCCTACGATATCATTGCTGAAGAAATACAAGGAACGATCTTTTTTGCTGGCGAGGTGTGTATCATGATCCTGAACCCAATTACTTTTATTTTGATTACTTTTTTTGGTGAGGAATATCGGCCCTGAGCTAACATCTGCCAACCCTCCTCTTTTTTTTGCTGAGGAAGACTGGCCCTGGGCTAACATCCGTGCCCATCTTTCTCTACTTTATATGGGATGCTGCCGCAGCATGGCTCGCCAAGCGGTGCGTTGGTGCGCACCTGGGATCTGAACCGGCGAACCCCGGGCTGCCGCAGCAGAGCGCGTGCACTTAACTGCTTGCGCCCTGATTACTCTCTTTTAATTAAAGTAATACGTGTCCAGAGTTTAAAAGCAAACTCAAATACTGTCACAAGCCTGATGACAACAAACAGCAGATGCCCTCTCAGCATCCTCCTCACACTCCTGGAGCAGCCATTCTTTTTAAAAATATGTTTTTATACACATATATAGAGAGCAAGGATTTTTTATTTATTTATTTTTTTTGCTGGGAAAGATTGGCCCTGAGCTAACATCTGTTGCCAATGTTGCTCTCTTTTTTTCTTCTTTTTCTTTTCTTTTGCTGAAGAAGATTTGTCCTGAGCTAACATTCATGCCAATCTTCCTCTGTTTTCTTTTTGTATGTGGGCCGCCAGCACAACATGGCCGCTAACAGAGTGGTGTAGGTCCGTACCCAGGAACCAAACCCAGGCCGCCAAAGTGTTGAGGCTGTTGAACTTTTAACCACTAGGCCACCAGGGCTGGCTCCAGAGCAGCCATTTCTAACTCTCTCTGCTGTTTCTTCTGGAATTTACTTCATGTTTTAAAATATTTATATTGTTGTCTTCTGGTTTAACCAGTTATACATTATCTACTGACTTCCTATCAGGCCGAAGATCTAGCCCCTTTAGTCTCTTCGCAACATGGTTATTTCACACTTGTAATTCAGTTGGTATCAGTGTTTTATCGGAGGTGGCTGTGTAAATGTTGCTTACTGTTGAGCCAAGAAGGTGTTCGTTGATTCCTTTCTTATACAAGTTTTCTGTTTTCTTGGCAGTCATAATGGCTTCTTTTTTCCTTAGCTTAATTCTTTTTGTACTTCTCCTCCAGTCTCCCCATCGTTCAGTTGTCTTTAAATCACAGTTGAATCCCAGTGAGCTGGCTTGTTAGTTACATTTTTGGAAAACCCCCTTCCTGGCGTCCTCATCCCTCTGCATCCATCTGCACTGGTTGATCTCTGGGACACCTCCTTACCACTTTCCAGAGTTGGAGTTTTTATTTCCTAGATCCCTCTCTTCTTTCTTCCTTTTTAAATTTATTTTTTAAATTGTGGTAAACTACACATAAGATGGACCTTCTTAACTATTTTTAAGTGTAGAGTTCAGTGGCATTAAATACGTTCACATTGTTGTACAACCATCACTACCATCCATCTCCAGAACTTGTCATCCTGCAAAATTGAAACTCTGTGCCCCTTAAACAACTCCCCATTTCCCCCTCCACCAGTCCCTGGCAACCACCACTCTACTTCCTGTCTCTGTGGATGTGTGCTAGGGACTTCATCATATAAGTGGAATCATATAGTATCATTCCCCCATTTATGGACTCTTTGGCACGTGGATGTTTTCCCTTCCATCCCAGCCACCAATTTAGGTGACATGGAACCTAAATTAGTTCACATGGAACTTCTTCTGTTTCTTACCCTTCTCCATTTTCTATGAACTGCTCAACTCCACTTCAGCTACTCTTTCCCAAAGCCACGTCCCAGACCTCGTCATTGTTACCTCCTCCTCCTAACTCAAGCCGCCTCCTTTCCTGTCCTGATTTGCTTACTGTGCTCCGACTACAACCTCCTTGAGTGAGGTTCTCCCATTGACCATCCTCCCCATTTGTCTTTTCCCTTGCTGTTGAACTGGGCTATCCTTTGAGTAGTTCAACTCTCTATCCTTTTGTTCCACCCATCTAGCAAAACTCCAGCCATGGATGAATTGTGATTCACTTTTTGTGCTTGTTTCATTTATCACTGATTGTAACAGCTAGATGACTTGTCTGATGGGAGGGACTGTGTCTTATTCATTATTCTTCATTCCAGTACGTGGCATATATAGATAATACCTTAATGAATGCCCCACAGTACTTCACAGAAGTGCTGAATACATTGTAGAATGAATGAATTTGGCGAAGCACGGTGAGTTAACCAGAAAAGTTCAAGTGCTACGATGGGTGAGTTGGTTATTAATATGAGCACACAGGAATGACACCAATCTTTATTGTGGGAGGATCAGAGGAAGTATAAGCTTGTATTACCTTTTGACCATCATCCGAATTCCTTATACATGATCTCAAATTATGCAATTATTTTTTTACAGGCAACAAACAGGCATTTTCCACAAACTGTTACAGGCGCATATTTGAGTGGTGTTCGAGAAGCAAGCAAGATTGCAGCATTTTAAATAGAACTTGTCTGGACCCAGCTTCTTTCTGTACCCTAAATGGGAAGTTTGAAACACGTTAAACCTCACTTTCGTAAAATCAAACAAAAAAACTCTCTCTGGATAGCAAAATAGAAATGTTTCTAAGGTGGTATAACATAAACCCATTTCACTACTCTGAAAGCACTAGACCCAAGAATCCTTTTATAAGCACTTATATTTAATTGCATTTTCCACAGGTCTGACTAGTGCTAAATCTTCTGGATTTCAGAATAAGGCAGAATATAACCTTAATTTAAGACCTTGGATATGATTCTTCCATGGTTGGAGATTCCCTTTAAATTTGACATTTTGTTTGGCTGATCGATTTTCACACATTGAGAATGCAAGTCAATCAAGCAGGAATCACTAAAAAACCAGATAAAGCCATGTATTTTTCTTCTATGACAATTTATCAGTATCTTTGTCAATGAGCCTTAAGATTTTTATATAGCTCTAATATGGAGCTTTTACATAAAATTTAGATAAATTTTTCCTTTTGGGATACAGCCCAAACTCTTCAGTCAAAGGTAAATGAAGCTTCTAGACTATTTTATATTGTACATATTTCTTCCCATTGGGTGTTCAAAAGAAATTTAAATTCAGGTTATCTTTTGTGATAAAACATTTTAGATTTGTGCACTCATTGGCAAAACAGCAAAACTTTCAATTCCTTAAACAGTATAGGTGTTGTGTCTTTGAGCATGGGGTAGAGATAGTGTGGTCTTCATACTTGAGACAAAGAAAATATGGCTATTTTTCTTAGAGCCAAGTTTGAGCGGATAGCACACTTTAAATAGCCTTAATTTTGGCAACCACTGGCAAAAAGATCTTGTCAGATAACATCATAAAAGCCTCTGCACTGCCTCTTTTTAAAATAACTGACTTAATCTGTAGGAATATTTTTTACAGAATTATGTTTTCAGTATTCTATAGGCAGGTCCACTGGAAAACTGCAGAAAAATGTGAGCTATCCTGGTAATTATTACACGTTTTATAAGCCATATCTTAAAAGCCCGAGAACACGGCAAATACTTACTTTTTCCTTTTTTCATTCATGACAAAAACATGTCATTTAAGATAAACATTGGTTTCCAGGTCTTCAGGATGCTTATCTTGCCAAGAAACTTCAGTTTACAGATTAGAAACACGGTGGCTAACTTAAGTGCTTTTGTTTTAAAAAGTCTTTGAACAATTCTTTCAGTTATATTGGTCTGCTGAAAAAAGGGACTCAAAATGACTTTAAAGCCACTTTTCAAAATATTAGGTATTTTTAAAATTTAACGTTAAGTCAGCTTATAAGTAGAAATAGTAAGTATTTTATGCAAAGAATGTATGGTGAACTTTAGTTTAGATACACCTCCCTCCCCATCAAAGTATGATACAAGTGAAAGAAAGCAAATAGCAGTTGATTAGTTTCCAAGTTAATGCAGGGAAATGTTGATATTTAGGTTATCTGATGAGACTCATTGGTACTGACTGGGAAGTATTCTGCTTTAAAGTATTATGTATTAAAATGTTTAAAGAATAGCATGTGTTAAGTGATAAATGCAAAATATTTAAAGTTTGAAACGGTTCACAGTAAATTATTACCTTAGTATCTGGGCACTTAAACTTGTACTGTGCCACAAGCAAACTAAAGAAAAACCTACTTAAATAGTACGGTAAACATGTATTTAAAGAAAACACCTCATTTCTTGTCTCAAGTGACATACTTCATTTGACATTTTGTTCTTCAGGGAGCCACGGTACTTTTATTCTTGAGTTACTTTGTTTTTCACTGTTTTCTGAAGAGTTTGTAATTGAGTAGCAGTGAATACAGTGTTTTTCACTGCAGATTGTGTGTAAAACTGCTTAATAAAAACTAGATTTTTCAAATACACTGTGCACTGTAGTGAACACACCCTTATTCCATAGGGACATCTTCACTTTTACACACCCTGACTCAACTCCCCTCACCTCCAAACCCTCTTTAGACTTTTAAGGTCGTAGACATTACTGCTTATCCCTTCAAGTAAGCAGTCATAATAAACAATTGTTAGCTTTGATCAACATAATAGTTTTGAGAGATTGCTTCAAGTTGTCCTAGCGATTTCTTTGAGTGTATTTATTCAAAGTAAAAGTGGTCAGTTATCACTGAAGTTACTCAAATTATATAGGCTATGGGGCTAAATTCATTTAAAAATCCTTGTTCTAAAATCCTCACGTAGGGGGAAATGCCATAGAAACCTATTATAAGAAATCAAATGCAAGAGACAAGAGCACTGGTTTATTATTTTTATTGACAAGGTTTATAAGAACAAATTAAATATTTAAAATCAAAGGCCAATTCTTAGGTCTCATTTAGTTTTTTATTCCATCATTTGTATTAAGTATACCATTTCTCTAATGTCTTAACTTTATCAAGAGACAATCAAACCTGTGAAAATACCCAACAGTCAACATATATCATTTTTATACATTTCTGTTCTATGATGCAAAGATATTTTTATTTTCAACACTCAACTGGTTTATCGAAAGCCTAATTCTCTCATAAGCAGCATGTTTTATTTTAAAATTCAGAGATTATTTAATAAACTGATTAAGACAGTCAATTTAAAAGACAAAATTAGTCTCATTCAGGAGGGGTCCATATGTTGATCACCTTGAATCTTGATTGGCCAAAATTTAAAACCCTACAGCCCTGATTCCACAAATACATTAACATTTCTTTAACGTTAAAAATAGGTCTATTATCACTTTTGAGAAATACTTTGTCAGAGATACCCACTATTGCCTACACATTATCATCTTCTGGCATTATACCAGGTACTTTTACCATAATTACAAAGATGGCCAGGTTTCCTGTAAATATCAGCATTTTATATGGGCAAAAGCAGTTAATAAAAATCAGTTCATTATAAGCCAAATGTGCTTATACTTAATCCTACTCTCTCTCAAATTTGTAAAGTTTTGATGTGTTGATTTTGGTCTAGCCTTAATATAAAATTTATCTATAGACACTGTTGCAGAGTTAATACTAAAACTACAAGTTGATGACACTTGCAAGGCAAAGCAGAGAACTATCTGTTCCTTCAGTGTTTTCTTCACTGAATTCTGACTCGCACTGCTCCGTCATACCATCTGGCTGAACACTGACATTTCATAGTTTTTAACTGTAAAGATACCTACCTCTATGAGTTTAAAAATTGATCTGCACAAAAGAAATAAAAAAACTATATACAACAAATTTGTTTTTAAAAATACAAAAATAACATCTGTCACTTTTGTCATGCTGACAATTTGACATATATACACATGCAGGAGAAAAGTTCCGATTTAGTCATCTAGACAGCTGACGCTCATATATTTTTAATATGATGAACACACTGCCACTGAGTTTTTACACTGAGAGATGTGTATTCAAAATATTTCATATACTAAATACTGTAATACTCCCTGCATGTATAAATGCCAGTTATAATAGTTTCTGTTCTACTTGATTAAAAGTATGTCTTAAGCTAACATTAAGCGCACTAAAAACTACAACAGTTCAAGAATCTATGACCTTATATAAAGAAATCCAAAATGTACAAAATACAACTATAAAAGCAAGGAATAATTACTGCCATGCAAAATTTTAAACTAAAAACTGCATAGAGATGCAATTTAAAACGGCAAACTCAAATTACCTAACACTCAAGATAAAAAGGTCAGCAGTATGTTCTACCAACACAATGCTTGCAAGGATTTAGAAAAGGAAATACATTCTCTTTGCTGGTATAATGGTATAAATCAGATCTTTAAATCCACGGGAACAAGTCATCTGTCTCTGTCCTCCATCTCAAGAAATTAGCTGTAACGAAAGAGAAACATCATTTTCCCAGACCCAACATACAATATTAAGGACACATAAATGAAAAAACCTTTAATTTTTTAACCTTTATTTTACTGCTGTGACCTTGGGAAATCAGTTGGGATCGATATAAAACTATAGCTACTGCTGATCTTGTCCTGCCTGTGACTGGTGGACAGGATCAAGTGCTAAGTCGTCGTGTGAGCTCCTCGGAGGCGCTACCCATGCACACTGTGAGCCTGCCTCTTCATCTGAGGTCAGCTGTTGTCACTAACATTCAGACTATTTTTAAGCTGTAAAATGGGAATGAAAATATCTTCCGCCATCTACTTTGAGTAAATGTGAGGATCAAATGTGATAGTGACATGAATATTTTGAAAAATACGCAGTATTTGATATACATAATTTCTTTTTGTCATATACGTCCAAAATGATCAAAGCTGGAAAAGCTGGATGTATTTACCTCTTTAACAGTGGTTTTTATGAACTCTTTTCTTTCAGTTAAATCATAAGCAGGATAGTTTTCATATACCTATAGTGAAAAGGAAAAATAATATTAAAAGTAGATTTAAAAACCCAATATTCTCTATCTTTGGATAAAGAAAAAATGTATGCTATGTACAAACAGCTGCATGTACATTCTAACAGTACCCTCTCTTTTGTCAACCTGATACCTGCTGCTTGACTTGCCAATGACTTGCAGTCCTGACTCTTTCCATATGCTCACAATCTATAAGCACCTTACTTGCTGGCTTCACTCCTATGGTACAGTTCAAGGTCAGCAAACTTTTTCTGTAAAGGACCAGACAGTAAATGATTTTAGCTTTTCCAGTGACATTTCTGTCACAACTACTCCATTATGCCATTGTAGCAAGAAAGCTGCCATAGACAATACTTAAATGAATGGGTGTGGCTGTGTTACAATCAAACTTTATTTACAAAAACAGATGGTAAGATGGATTTGGCCTACAGGCTGTAGTTTGCCAACCTCTGCCAATATAGTCAATCATTTAAATTACTCTAATTGTTTGCCTATTGTTCTCTCTCTGCAAAACTCCAATCTTGAATTAGTCTAACTACCAACTTTTCCATGGTTAAGCCCAGATGAAAGATTGCTGTGGGAAAATAGAACAACTTTGAAAAGACTGGTCCTGTTTTTAAGTTCACGGTATTCAACATCAAAGCCTCCCAGGCAATCCCAAGTATCTCTGATCAGGTCCTCCTTTCACTCCCATCAAGGACAATTTCATCCCCTACTCAAGTGTCCCACACTCTTCTTCTCAGCCAAGAAGCCATTATGATGAATTCCTTCAACTCTCCAACATACCTCTTCCCCTCCAGTGTTATTTGTATCTGGATTCACCAATACTCCCCGTTTCCTTCACTTCTGCAGGGACCCATCCCTCAATTCTCCTGTGTCTTCGGCTTCTCTTCCTTTCACAGCACTGTCCCTTAGCCTAACACATACTTTCTCTCCCTTTCCTTCTTCAAAAATATTTTATCAACTTGTACCCCCATTTAACTACTATTTCCCTTCTAAAGTAAGCTGCTTAAAACAGAAGCTTTAATTCCTTCACTTTCGTTACCTTTCATTAATTCTCAATGCCAAGGTAAATAACCCTTGCATTTACCACCCCTCAAAACTGCTCTTATTATATGAAAATTACCTCCCAATTGCTGAGTCCAAAAAAACCCCTCAAGTCTTTCTCACCTGATCTCTTCATGTTATTAAAAATATCTTTTAAAAATTACACAAATGTGTTCACAAAAATCATCAAATGGACAAAACTGGTCTCCCTTCAATTTCCCCTCCACTCTGCCCTTGTCCCTCTCCCCTCAGGAAACCAGTTATCAGTTTGGTGTGTCATCTTCCAGACCTTTAAAAATGAATTTATATACAAATGCATTAGTATATCAATGGCAATATAGTTTTCCTGTATTTACATAAATTGGGTAATATTCTTTTATGTTTTAAAAATTTCACAATACCTGGAAAACTTTTCCATGTTCTTCTGAACTGCTACACAGTATTCCAAAAATACAGATGTACCAGTTTAACCATTTCCCTATTGATGGGCATTTAGGTTTCTGATTTTTCAACAGACACATGCTGAGCATTACTGTAGTAATT